CCAGTAAAGTGTCACGCCTCTTGTTGAAAATGCTTTCTGAACGGGACGCCAAGGTTGGGGACCCCAAGGCCTGCAGTTCTGTTGAGAAGTTACCGTCGGGTAAGGACAGGATGATCATTGAATTCTGTTGCTCTAAGGACAGTAGCCTGGGCAAATCCTCGAGTGCTACAAAGGGAGCTCACGTCATGCACGTGCATGAAGCTCTTCAAGCCCAAACCAAGGCATGTGAAAGCAACATCCTCAAGGAGGCGGAACAATTCCGAAAATCCAATCCCAAATGTCCGATTCTTGTTTTTGCCTCTCTTCCGTGCGCTGGGGGGTCCAACTGGAACAAGGTGAACGAAATGGGGGGTGAAACTGAAAAGGGAAAGGAGCATCGGAAGAAATTTAGGGATTTACTCAAAGCTCTCAAACGCCTTTTGCGAAAGCTGGCGGTATTTTCCCCCAAAGTCGCTTTTGAGTTGTTGCCTAAAACCTGTTTGTATTGGAGTTGGCCCGAAGTTCAAGCCTTAATAAAGCAGCATTCATTGCGTGTTGCACGAATGGACGGTTGCATGATGGGTGTTGTTGACAAAGACGGCATTCCTTTACTCAAAGCATGGTGTGTCGCCACGAACGTGTCAACCATGTTGAACCTCAAAGGGGTCACGTGTGATAACACACATGAACATGGCACACCAAGAGGTCAGGCGCTCAAGGAGGCAGGGAACTACACACCACACATGGCAAAGTTGTTGCACAACGCATGGCGTGATGAAGCTCGTAATATCCGCAGGGGCTCTGCTCAGAGTGTTCATGTGGCAGCTTCATGTGTACTTGTTCATGTCATTTTGCGTTGCAGTAACAGTCAGGTGCAACATGAGTTCCAAGGTACCTGCAGAATTGTTTGTCCTACACAAGGAATAGGGTTCGGATCCTCCGACCCTAATCCAAAGTGCAGTGAGGGGTTCGGCTCCGCCGGCTCGGATCTGCGTCTGGGGAAGGGACTCGGCTCCGCCGGTCCTAGAACCAGCATGGATGGACAACAGCAGAGGCCCATTCCTCCGCATGTTCCATGGTCGCGACCTCAAGACCTCTTTTCCCTTCCGTGCCAGAGATCGGGCATCAACATCCCTGTTGGCAATGGGATGACTGCTTTGCGCACGACATGTCACGCGCTGCGATCATTGAGAGGGCAACCTCTTCCTGGACGACTGGAACAAGGCATGGTCGCCACGAATGCGAACATTGCTGCGTGGGTGGAATTTGGAGTGCCAGCTATCCTTTTGGCGGCAGTCGCGGCACCCTCCAGCCCATACGGATTTCCTGAAGTCAGAGTTCGGGAGCTGTTTCGAGGTGTGGTGGAAAGCCTACTGCCAGCTAGGAGCGCGGAGAGCTACAAGACAGTCCTTAGCCATGTCACAACGTTTATCAAGGTCGTCAAGACTGCGATCAGCACCGATTCGACTCGACAAGTGCTGCAGGAGCTTCTGGACCACGTCATTGAGATTGACCTCTTCAAGAACATTGACATGTTCGTCGACGTGTTGGTTCAGGATGCTGATCAAGGACGTGTGGATCCTCAACATCCGTGTCTGACGGTGGTGACTATGGATGGCTATCTTGATCCGAATGTCATTTGCAGGCCAGTTGTCACCAAGAGTGCTTGGATCTATGTGACCAGGTACAACGACTGGATGCGGCTAAACTCCTACTTTCGCGAGAACCTCCCCAACCGTCGTGAAGGGCTACCATGCATGCTTCTCACCCAGGACTTCTGGGATTTGTTGGAGCTGATTTGGTCAATGGCGAAGCAAGTGGGTTACTGCTTGAGGAGCCACAATCAGGTCGCCGGGAACACGCAAATGAACGTGTGGGATCTGATCGAGATCGTGGTCGACCCCCCGGAGAACGTGTCCGCGGCGGTTGCTCATGCGGTCAACAGCCTCCAAGGGTTGTCGGTCGCCATGCACACAGCCCACGAATACCTCCACGACAGTCGGACGGTGTGGCCAACGGAGCGGTCGAGGACGACCGGAGCTGAGCTGAGGGAGTCGCTGTTGAACGCGACAGCTGTCGTCATGGCCCCGCCACCAACCGGTCTCGGGTTACCAGCTTCCTTTTCACACAGCTCGTGGAACCAGCTGGCTGCCGAGCAGAACGTCCTGAGGGCGGTCCACGACATGTACAGGACCCACAGGTCTTGGATGTCCGAGATCACGAACCTGCGAGCCGAGTGTTGCTCCGAAGGACGTGAACAGCCGCCGTACCTGCAGCCCGATCCAACCGGCACGGTGTTTCCTCCGGCATTGAATTCGCACCCGCCATGGGTGAATGTTCAACGCCAACATCCCGAAGGACCTGCATCCCCGTCTGTTCCGGAAGGGCCTGCTCCTTTCGTGGAAGAGGATCATCCCGCCAACAGATCGACGCCATCATCAAGACAGGCAACGGGGGCATTCTTTGTCGAAGCGAGGGGTGAATCCGCCAAGAGGCAGCGGGGACCGGAGGATGTCCGCTCCGCAGCATCCCAACCGGGAACCGCGGCCAGTTCTTCCGATCCTCGGGGAGCTGAGCCAACTGCCCAACCAGAAGGAGAACCCGATGAAGTTCGCTGGTACCTGGATCCAACTCCCGATGGGTACATGGAGAAGTTCGTCAAGTTCCAATCCAGGCATCGCGTGCAGTTGGGGACAACCATCGTCGTTCACAAAGACGATCCAACAGATGTTCTACCCGCGCGTGATCAGACACCCAAGATTGACGGAAAGTTTGGAACCAGCAGCGAGCAGATTTACCTTCGGCGCGTCACCACACACCTTGCCAAGCCCTACGGGATGAGCCAGTCGAACCTTGCAGGTGCGTTTCACATGGCAACATTCATGAAGAAAGGGTGATTGATGTACTCGGATTCTCCGGTATGTCATCCCTGGAATCCATGGTATTCCTGAAATCTGGTTGTGGCTCAGCGCTATGCGTTTTCAGTTTTGATTCCTCTTTTCCCTATGGATGCAACAGATGACACAATGGAGCACGTCATTATATCCACCGATGCTATTTCTCTTTTCGGCCACTGCGTAGCAGCAGCGGGGCAATGTGCCAATGCGCCCGCTGGAGGGAAATGTGCGATTCTTTGCAGCTCGGATGGTTGACCGATACCGCTGTGTACCTTTCCTGCATCATGGAGACGCAATACGCTGGATCCGCATTTTGCGGAAATGACTTCTCAGGGCCTTTCGCGCCCATGATTCCACAACCGTGAGCAGCATGTCTCTGTACAGACAAAGGATGGGATTGAACGCTTCAGTAGCTGAAAGTCTGTCTCACATCTATCAATTCGGGCAAAGAAAGCAAAACAGTGGAGAACGGCCAGACTTTAAGTCGCTTTTAACTGGGACCATTGTATGTTCGTAACGCAATTCGTCTAGCATTTTGCCATTTTGCAAATCCTAGCCGTGGGGGGTGTGAATGATCCCCGAACCACAGCACGTTTTGGGGACCCCGTTGTGTCGGCTCCGCCGCACATCGGGGAAACCACCTTAGAACGCCGTGGCCTGTTCACCACATTGGCTCAAGTAACCCCTAGAGTGAAGGTCACCCATAGGCTAGAAGTAAGCGCAATAGCGTAACTGGAAACCGCCCGGGTGCACGAGACGGAGACTGAAGGCGAACGCCAGTGCAGAAAACAAGTGCGAGACCATTTGGCTGGTGAGGAGCCAAAGCGTAGTGCAAGCAACTACCCGACCTCACGCACGAAACCCTAAACCCTAAGCCCTAAACCCAAAATTCCCAAAGCCGAAAAAAGACCGCTCTCGAGGTGCTCCAAAGCCAGGCGGACGGCGCCGAGCTGTGGCTCCAGGAAGCCCACGCCTGGCACGAGGCCGGGGGAGCTTTGCGCGGTGGTTTAGGGTTTAGGGTTTAGGGTTTAGGGTTTAGGGTTGAGGGTTGAGGGGGTTTAGGGTTTAGGGATTAGGGCCTGGCACGAGGCAGGGGGAGCTTTGCGCGGCGGGGTAGGGGAGTTTTTTTTGTTGGGGTTTGGGGGGGGGGGGTGCTTCCTTGTTTTTTTTTTTTTGGTGTGTTCAGGGTTTAGGGTTTTAGGGTTTAGGGTGTGTCGTCGAGGAGCGGCTGCGTGAGCTCCTGGAACGCTTCCAGCGCCGTGGCAGGGGGGTTCAGGGATGTGGGGGCTGTGCCAGGTCCAGGACTCCTAAGAGGTAACTTAGGAAACCTGGAGTTCCTAGGGTTTAGGGTTTAGGGTTTAGGGTTTTGGGATGTTCCCACCCTATACTAACAGTCCTGAATAGGGATTATAGTACCCCCTATGATAATCCCTATGAAGGACTGTCAGTTTTAGGTGGAACATCCCAAGTAGCCAAGCTAGCTCAGATAAGGAATGGTCCATGTCATGTAGGGATCTTGCTGATGGTCAGAGTTCTATTTCCGACATCCTGAACCCTAGACTTCCATAAGCCCTGAACCCTGAACCCTAAACCCTAAACCCTAAACCCTAAACCCTGAATCCTGAACCCTGAACCCTGAACCCTGAACCCTGAACCCTAAACCCCAAGCCCTAGGGACTTTTGGGAAGCTTAGGGGTTTTAGGAAGCTTCGGGTTCAGGTCCGGCGCCATAACGAGTCTTCCCGATGATTTCCGCGATGGCGCGTCTTGGGCGCAAAATCACTGAAGCTTTCTTTAACACCCAAAACCCTAAACCCCAAACCCTAAAGCCTAAAGCCTAAACCCTGGAGTCTTTCTTGGGTAGCTTTTCCTTGTGTGGTCGTCTAGTTGCCCGTGACACAAGGGTTAGAGTGACTGAAGGCCTGCGGACTAAGCCCTAAAACCAAACCTCAAACTCGGAACCCTAAACCTAGACTTCAGTTGTCCACAGTCCACAAGTGGTTGCAAAACTGCACTGCCTGCTTGGGAGCTTGCGATGCTACTATTGTTTCTATCACCGTTTCTTATTTACGTCTATTGTTATTGCTATCTAGTATATTGCTACTCGTAGTTTAGAAGGACCAAAATGAATAGTGCTCATGTATCATTATTCTTCTTATATACACATATAAGCTCTAAACCTCTCAACCCGAAACCCTAAACCTATACCCTAAGCCCTAAACCCGTAGCATACTACTTTGATCCCAGGTGGAGTTCTACACTTCCCAGCTCGCGGACGGTCAAAGTGTCAGCCAGGAGCCTCTTCAAAACGTGCATTCGGGTGAAGGGTTCCCTGGGACTCCAAGACCCCTTCGTGAAGGACTATGCCTTAAGATGTAAGAGGGTTCCTTATATGGTTTGAGGAGTATTCCTTAATTAAGGGGTATCGGAGTCTCTGGGTTCAGGGTCCAGGATTCGGCGTTTAGGGCTCACAGGGGTAGGTTTGAACATAAGTTTAACTCTTACCACCCTCAATCCCCCATAGAATCCTCATAAAGACACATAGATCTACTTTTTATAGGGACCCCCCTAAACCTACCCAAGTTCAGGGGTTTTGGGTTTAGGGTTTTTTGGGTTTTTGGGTTTAGGGGGTTAGGGTTTAGGCAGCTCGCGCCGACTGCTGAGCCCCTAGGCTTTTACACCCAAAGCGTCTTCGGCTAATCCCTAAACCCTGAACCCTAAACCCTCAACCCTAAACCCTAAACCCTAAACCCTAAACCCTAAGCCCTAAGCCCTAAGCCCTAGGCCCTAAGCCCTAAACCCTAAACCCTAAACTGCTGCATGCCGCCTGCCTTGAGCCCTAAGCTCGAAGCATCCCGCTTCAGGGGCGCGTTGTTTAGGGTTTAGGGTTTAGGGTTTAGGGTTTAGGGTTTAGATGCATGCGCCCTTAATTTTTGTATAGGGTAGGGGTGTAGAGGAGTACTCGTTGCAAGGGCCCATGCTGAAGGACCATGTAACTACCCTAAGAAGTATCCTCAGCCCTCAGCCCGCCTTCAGTGCAGAGGAGGCCTTCTACGACGACCGCGAGCTCTACGGCGCGCTGCTTGAGGTGAAAGCAGAGGCTGCGGAGGTCGGACAGCTTAGGGTTTAGGGTTTAGGGTCCCTCAGCCCTGAGCCCTAAACCCTAAACCCTAGGCCCTAAGTTCTAAACCCTAGAACCTACATGCTTGGAGGTCAGAGGTCTTGTGTTTTCCAGGCATCGACAAGAGTTCAGAGTGCCAAGCACTCGAAAACCCTAGACCCCAAAGAAGCTACTTGGCCGACTGAACTCCTCGTGCTAGTCATGCAAGTGGCCTCAACCCGTCTTGAGGTACGTAGTATCCCTCTGCGAGTATCCTCGAGGTTAACCTGTAATTCTCCTACAAAGCTGGACGATCATGTCCATCTCCGAGATCCCTAAACCCTAAAGCCTAAACCCTAAACCCTAAACACCTGAAGCTTTTCCTCAACGGAGGCCCTGAGGTCCTTAAACCTCGAAAACCTGGAAAACCCCGAAACCGTAGAGTAGCTAGAACCCCACAGGCCCCTCAAATCCTAAAACCCTAAACCCGAAACCCTAAACCCTAAACCCTGCTTGGCTCGGCCCCTAAAGTGTTCAGGAGGTGGCGTACCAGCGGGCTGCTGACTCTGAGGAGGTCCCGGTTCGTCTGACCTGGGTTTGGGGGTTGTGGGTTAGGGGTTGGGGTTTAGGGTTTAGCTTTTAGGGTTTGGGGTTTGGGGTTTGGGGTTTGGGGTTTATGGGTTTAGGGTTTAGGGTTAGGGATGGGGTCAGTTGGGTTGCCCACCGGAGCTTCCATGTACCAGAGGTGCCTGCAGATGTGTTTTGTTCCCATAGAGCCCCCACTACACCTTATTTTAAGGAGAAGACGAGGCGCCCAACAGCCAAGTAAAGAACGTGCCTTGAACCAGAAGAAGGTGTTCTTGTGTGGTTTAAGGTGCATGCCTTAGCTAAGGGATAGGGGTTTAGGGTTTAGGGTTTAGGGTTTAGGGTTTAGGGTTTAGGGTTTCGGGTAAGCCCCTAAAACCGCTGTATTGGGCCCCCCGAGCTGAGGTAAAGCCGCTAGGGTTTAGGGTTTAGGGGTTTTAGGTTTTAGATGAGGGTTTAGGGTTTAGGGTTTAGGGTTTAGGGTTTAGGGTTTAGGGTTTAGGGTTTAGGGTTTAGGGTTTAGGGTTTAGGGTTTCGGGTAAGCCCTCAGCAACCCTGAGCCCAAAGCCCTAAGCCCCAAACCCTAAACCCGAAACCGCGCGAGGCTCTGCTTGCCCTGGAGAAGGTGAAGGCTTGGTCGGAAACAAGCCAGCCGGCCTGGTTTAGGGTTTAGGGTTTAGGGTTTGGGGTTTAGGGTTTAGGGTTTGGGGTTTAGGGTTTTTGGGTTTAGAGTTGGGGGTTCGGCGTTTCGGGGTTTGGTGTTTCGTGTTCAAGGTTTAGGGTCTGGGGCTTAGGGCTTAGGACTTAGGGGTTTCCAGGTTTCCAAGCCCAGTATCCCGGAATAAGGAATGTGCCTTAGTACATTCGGGATCCTCATTGGTTTTAAGGTCTGTTCCTTAACTGCGGGGTATTGCGATCTGCTTTTTCAAAAGGCGGCGGTTCAGGGTTGGTTTCCGGGGATTTATAGTAGTATTTGTTTTCTGAGGGTTCAGAGTTCAGAGCTGCGGTGGTAGGGGAGGGGGAGGGGGAGCATGGGCTGATCTTTGATTTCAGCCACACTATTTGCTTAAGACCCACCCCAAAAAACAGAAAGCGGTCTTCCTTACAAGGGCAATACAAGGATTGCTGTTCTCAAGCAAAGGGTGGTATAGCAGGGCCCTTCAGGTTGGGTCGCTGCTTTCGTCGAGCCTCGTATCAATAGAGTAGGGACCGCCTGATAATATCAACGCCAAAAGGGACCATATTTTCGCGAACCCTAAACCCTAAACCCTAAATCCTCAACCCGAAACCTAAACCCGTATATGGGGTCTGGCGAGGATTGAGGTTTTTGTGTGGAGGCGCCTGACCATTCTGGGAAGCCAGCAAAGAAACTTGCCGAGACAGCAACTGAGCACTGAGCTTTGGCACCTCGGGCAAGGTCCACATGGCATATCCAACTTCGCGAAGCTGTTGAAGGCGCTCGCCCGTTGCCCGAGAAGGTTTAGCTTAGGGTTTAGGGTTTAAGGTTTAGGATAGGTTTAGGATATGCTTCGGGTTTTGGATATTGGGTTTAGGGGGAGAGAAAGGAGGTGCAAAGGGAAAAGTGCCTTGCTAAGAACACCATGAACCGAAAAGTAAAGAGCCACCTTTTAGCCAAGTTCAGATGCGTCAAGCAGTTGCAGATGGGTATGAGGATGAATGCAGTACAGGTTCTGTCTTTGATGAGAATTCATTGCTGATCACGCTGCGACCTTGCTGAGCAGGCCCAGGCAGACTCCGCCAGTGTGCAGGAGGCGGGACTGACACGGTGACTAGGCAGCGACGAAGAGCCCAAAGAGCATGGCTTCGTTTAGGGTATCGGGTTTAGGGTTCAGGGGTTCCCTCTTGGGTACTGTGCCCTGAATAAGGCTCTGTATCAAAGCTAAGAGCTCCTTCGCATCGAGCCCGGCAAGAGCAGCGCAAGAACTCCACCTCTGTTTCAAGAAAGCCGGCGCAGGGTTTAGGACCAGCGGTTTAGGGATTTAAATGCGAATGATACTGCTACTGCTACTGCTACTGCTACTACTGCTGCTGCTGCTACTACTACTACTACTACTACTGCTACTGCTACTGCTACTGCTACTCCTGCTACTACTACTAGTACTACTGCTACTACCACTGCGATTACTACTACGACGACGACTACTACTACTACTACTACTACTTCTACTACTACTACTACTACTACTACTACTACTACTACTACTACTACTACTACTACTACTACTACTACTACTACTACTGCTACTGCTACTGCTACTGCTACTGCTACTGCTACTGCTACTGCCTCTGCTACTGCTACTGCTACTGCTACTGCTACTGCTACTGCTACTGCTACTGCTACTGCTATTCATTCCAATCGCAGCCGGTCTCTCAGCTTAGCGTCAGGTACGTGGCAGCGCATTGCGCCGGTGCTTCAAGAGCACTAGAACCACATGGGCAAGTCCCGCTACGAATGGCTGCAAACTTGCGGCCTACTCAACTTGTCAAGAGAATGGTGCACCAGTGCACCTTCACTCGATCAAAAGAGTGCAAAATCAGATAAGTAGAAAGCGAAAACGTAAAACATGAAAACAGGTCGTAGAGCTATCGACATCGCTACAGCCATCTGTTATGGCATCTTGCATTCATCATGGTGTGTCTCTGTACAAAGTGCATTCCTGAGAACTGCAGTGGCCCCAGGAGGGCACACTGAGGACCACGCGCAGCACCCTGTAGTCCTATGAAACTGCAAGTGGCCCCAAGAGGGCGCACTGAGGACCACGTTCAGCGCCCTGTAGTCCTGTGAACTGCAAGTGGCCCTTGGAGGGCACACTGGGGACCGTGTAGTTCAGTACCCAAGAAAGGTCTGGCCGCAGAGCATCGCCAGAACACAGCTTTCTCGCACTTACTAACTGTGACCCGGAAGGACGTAACGTCAAAACCCAGACATCTCGAAGCATACGTGGGGCCGGGGCCCAGCGTGGGCCATCCCATCCGAGGATAGGGTAGGTTGCCGCCGCCGGCAGTCGGTCAGCATTCGGGACAAGGCAGCGATGATCTGCAGCTACACACTCCTCGATTATCTGAACTAGAGGTACACAGGCACAAGGGCTGCGCTTGGCAATGTCGAGTAGCTCTATTGCAAGCTGGCATAAAGGATCTCTTGACACATCGGTTCCACTTGTGAGTAGGTCCCTGCTTCCCATCTGTGACCTGAACTCCGTTTAGCTTCGGCACTTGAAGTCGTCGCTGATAGGCAAGGGAGTTGCCTTGCCCAGCTCCAACGGAAAGAGCTGGAACCCTCACACTGTGGGACTCCTGACAATGTAGCAATATAAGTAGAGTCGTCAGTCGGCGTCCCACCCCGGACTTGGGACCGGGCCGGCTATCTATAAGGAGGTGTGGCGCTATGCGCTCAATGGGGCGGCCTGACGGCGCGCGCCCAGGAGGAATGCGGGTGGCAGCCACGTCATGCTTGCGCCAGCTGCAGGAAAAGTTGCGCCAACTCCTGATCGCTGGTAGCCACGCACTTGCAACGGTGCCAGACTGCCGCGTTGGCAGGCCAGGGCCAAAGGCACACAGTCGACCCATGCGCCCTTGCTGGGGCCAAGAGGCACCCAGCTGACGAGCGTGCTCTCAATGGGGCGGCCTGACGGCGCGCGCCCAGGAGGGATGCAGGCGGCATCGACCTCTTGCTTGCACCAACTGCAGGAAAAGTTGCGCCAACTCCTAGCTGCTGGTAAACACGCACTTGCAACGGGGCTAGCTTCAGACTGATGCGTTGGCAAGCCAGGGGCAAAGGCTTTCAGTCGACCCATGCGGCCTTTGTTGGGGCCAAAAGGCACCCAGCTGGCGAGCGTCAACAGTAGCGCTAGCGCGGTTCGCTGCACTATAGGACTGTGATCATCACGTTTCGGAGCCGGACTCCACCGCAAGGTTCGCTCCATGGCATAGATGCTACATCTCCACAACTATAAGTCCCGCTGGGACACAGCTGAGCCGGAGTGCTTACTGCTACTGCTACTGCTACTGCTATTCATTTCATTCCAATCGCAGCCGGTCGCTCAGCTTGGCGTCAGGTACATGGCAGTGCTTTGCACCGGTGCTTCATGAGCACTAGAACCACAATGGGCAAGTCCCGCTACGAATAGCTGCAAACTTGCGTCCTACTCAACCTGTCAAGAGATTGGTGCACAGTGGCACTGACAATAACTGCCGCAGCATGAATTGCCGGGGCATTGGACAAATGACTTCTGATGCAGCGTCTTAGCCAGCAGTTAGATCATCGTCGTTTAGTATGTGCAAGACATTGAGGTGCTGTACACTAGACGGCATGGTCTACGTACAAGTGGCCTGATCGGGCACACTGACGGTCTAGAGTGGCCAAAGATGGCACACTAGCCTCTCACTCACTGTCAAGGTTCGTTGCAGGTGGTGCAGTTGGTGCAGTTGGTGCAGGTGGTGCAGGTAGTGCAAACTCCAGTCTCCGGAGCGTGGCGACATGTGCAGGGGTGAGGTCGTCCACAGCCCTGACCGTGAAGATGGCAATCGTGATGCGATCTCCTGTCCAGGGGCGCGTTTCGTGCCATTGTTGAGGGTCAAAAGTGACTCCCGGCAGTGTGAGATTCAACACAGTGCCCCGCATGGTACCATCCATAGACGCATAGTTGCCGTTAGGGTCATGTACCCATACCCCTCCGCCTGTAAAGGCCGAGCAGGGTAGTACAGCATTGACACTTTGCACGGCGTTGTTCATGTCTCTGTGTGCTTGCATGAACGTATTACGCTGTAGAACGAAGCTAGTGAAGGGCACCTGGGTGCAGGAGCGAATGTACTTACACACCATTAGGGTTACCCATGGAAACTTCGTGGTATTGCGCCGGAGTCCATGCAGCGGGCCCTGTGAGTAGGCACCACTCAAAAAGCACATACTGCCAGGTAGGTCAGCATGCGCCTCACTGCCCAGATCGCTTCGAGGCAGACTATCACAGAGTAGCTCCCATGCACTCATGCGTACCTGTCCACAGGCGATCATCTCAGCCGCAATTTGCTCAGCAATGTGCTGCGGGTATGGCATGTCATCGGGGAGCTTGTCATCAATTTCTAATGAGTAAGGGATCCTTACCTCATACTGCTACTGCTACTGCTACTGCTACTGCTACTACTATTACTACTCCTCCTCAAAACCCCAAAGCCGAAACCCCAAACCCTGAACCAACCTGAAACCCCAAACCCTAAACCCCTTCAACCCTCCACTGAGTCTCGGTGCCCTGGCCTCCGGTACCGCCGGCGGCTATGGAACTGCGGCGCCCGCTGGTGGGCTGGCGCCGGCCACGCTGCTTCCGGTGGCTGGGCAGGCACGAAATTAAGGTACCTTTTTCTGGGACCCTGATAAAAGGGGAATCCTTTTATGTGGGAGACTCTATTTGGGGGTCCCTTATTTCGTAAGCCCCCAAGTAGATCACCTTAAGCAAGGGGTTGGGGTTTTGGGTTAGGGCAGCGTAGACAACTAGCCCTAAACATTTTAGAAGCCCTAAACCTGAAACCCTAACCCTAAACCCTAAACCTGAAACCCTAAACCCTAAACCCTAAACCCTAAACCCCAAACCCCAAACCCTAAACCCTAAACCCTAAACCCCAAACCCTAAACCCCTGAGCTCGTTCGGTGACCTTCGCATCTGCGAGCCTCGCGCCGCTGAGATCATCTTCGCTGCGATGGCGCGCTTTGAGCAGGATCCGCAGGAGGGGATCCGCAGCCTAAGTAGGATAAGGGTTTAGGGTTTAGGGTCTAGGGTTGAGGGTTTAGGGTTTAGGGTTTAGGGTACCCCTTCTGAACCCTCTTCTGGCTTTCTTAAACGGGGACCTTATTCAGAGGGTCTATATCCCCAAGGGTCCCCCTAATCCTATCCCCTAGCTGCAGGAGCTCCCGGTTAGAGTTTAGGGGCTTCGAGTTGTGGGCGTTGAGTGTTTCGGGATTTGGGGGTTAGGGTTTAGGAATTAAAGGTTTTAGGGGTTTAGGCGCACGGTGCTTGTCAAATTTTTGAAGCCACCGAAACCCTCGGATCCCTCAAGCCCCAAAGCCCTCAACTGCATGCGCCTGTGCCCTCAGCCCTTGAAGCTCCAAAGCGTAGCCTAACAGCCCCCGGAAGCCCTGAAGCCCTGAAGGCTCAGACCGTCCCAAACCCAAACCGGCTCAGGTCCTACCCCTACAAACCCTAAACCCTAAACCCTGCAGACCCTAGAAAGCCTCTAAACCATTCTAAACCCCTAAACGCCTAAATCCCTAAGCCCCTAAGAACCCCCTAAGAACCCCCTAAGACCCCCCTAAAACCCCCCCCTAAGACCCTGAGACCCCCCCCCTTAAGAACCAGGTGCAGCGCCAGGGCTGCAGCGCCCTGCGCGCCCTGGCGCTGCAAAGCCCGGCGCCGGTGCTCGACGCAGCTGGGCGTTTCATCATTTTCTAATATTTTTTATTGTTACCATTGTTATAATAATAATAATTATTATTATCTACATGTAAAAATAAAGTTGAAAACCATAATGGGGTACTGGAGTCCCTGGGTTCTTCTTAGTGTTATTGTTGTTGTTACCAGTGTTTTTTTGTATTGTTATTCATGTCCTTCTTCTTCTTCTCCTTATTCTTCTCCTTCTTCTTTGTAGTGTTCGTATTATTATTATTATTAGCATATTTATTGTCATAATCAATTCTTTCTTACTAGTCTTTGCGATTATTGGTCTTAATATGATAGTGTTGTTACTATAATTGCGGGGTGGGGTGGGCGTGGGTGTGGAAGGGTTCTTAGTTTTGTTTTGGGGTGATTTTGGGGAAATCTCGTGAGACTTCCCATAACCCACCTAACTAACCCTATTTACTAAGCCAAAACGGCATCCAAGTAGGGTTTGGGTGTAGGGCATCGTCCCTAAACCCTAAACCCTAAAACCTAAACCCTAAACCCTAAACCCTAAACCCTAAAATCCCTAAACCCTAAACCCTAAACCCTAAACCCTAAACCCTAAGGCTTCAGGCTTTAGGGTTTAGGGCCTTTCGGTTTCATGCGCTTGGGGGGGCATGGACTTCATGGAGTACGTAGTTCTCGGAGGAGTAGGCCCATGTGGGGGTTTCCGAAACTTAGGGCGGGACGAAGGGAGGGACCCTTAGAACGGACCTTGGGGGTCATGTCTGGGTTAGGAGGTATTTTGAGACTGTATAAGTGAAGGGTCCCTTGTAGGGTCCCTCCTTATTCGCCTTATATAGTTTAGGGTTTAGGGTTGAGGGCAATTCTTCGGGGTCCGTCTCATATTTGGGGCAAGCCGAGCCTAATTTCGGAACCCTGCCATATGCAGACTTGGAGGTGCATCTGGGTAGTCACAAAGTGGGGCTCTAAGTAGCCTTGAACCTCCAAGTAAGAACCCATGCCCGTGGCTTTGTGCTCTTGCTCGGCGCCCCAAAGGCTGGAGGGGCGAAGAAGATCGCGGAGGTGATGAAGCGGCATATCAGGCTCGCATCCCTTTCACGGACGCCTCAAAAGCACACACCATGTCGTTGATCCCACGCCCAAAACCCAAACCCTAAACCCTAGATCCTCTGCCCTAAATCTCTTTCCTGCCGGGTTTTTGAGGATGGCCCTAAACCCTAAACCCTAAACCCTAAAGCTAAACCCTAAACCCTAAACCCTAAACCCTAAACCCTAAACCCTAAACCCTAAACCCTAAACCCTAAACCCTAAACCCTAAACCCTTCGAGTTTTCGGGCGCCCCCCCCCCCCCCCCCCCGAAACGCAGGAATGCGGAGGTTTGCCGCACAGCGGCGGTCAGCTTCGCAGCCATTGCCTCTCGGCTGCCGTATGTCCACTAAAGCGAAGAGGGGGCGCCCTAAAGGGTTTAGGGTTTAGGGTTGAGGGTTTAGGGTTTAGGGTTGAGGGTTTAGGGTTTAGGGTTGAGGGCTTAGGCCCCAAACCCTAAGCCCTAAAGCCGGTGCATCTTTTGGGGTTTGGGGTTTGAGGTTTAGGGTTTATTTGGATTATTTAGGGTTCTCTCAGACCATCTTACCTCTCCTTGGTTCCTCATGGCCCAATCGGCCCTGCCCATGGGGGCAGGGTGTTGTTGGTGAACGCGCAAAGGGTTATGAACCCATGGGAGCCCTAAATATTTTCTTAGAAGGCCCTTTATAGATCAACCCCCATGTAGGTATCAATTTTGGAATACTAGAAGTCGATGCACTACATCAACGTGAGAACTTTTACCTGCACTAACCCTGGGCGACTTGTATCGGTCTGCTGAACTGCTCTCCTGGCTCAGGTCAACAAGTGCCAGAAGCTTGTCTCACGGTGGAGCACCAGCTTGCTGCTTGTATGTCCCCTAAACCCTAAACCCTAAACCCTAAACCCTAAACCCTAAATCCTAAACCCTAAACCCACCAATAAATCCCAAGCCCCAATGAAAGACCTCAGGAACGGCCCCGTGGAGATGTCCCAGCTGCGAAACGCCGGGGCAGCGCCGGTGCTGGTCGACATCCTGTCCTACCACTCCAACGACCTGCAGCTGACCAGATGCACCGGGTTTAAGGGTTTCGGTTTAGGGTTTAGGGTTAAGTGCCTGCCTTCACCTCATCCCCCCTGCATCAAAAGCCCATGTAGGCCTCTGCAGAGCCTTCTGTCCATGAGGTTATAGGGTTGTGTTCATGGGGCTTTAGGGTTTAGGATTCCCTGCCTTAAGGTTGGACAAGGTGGCGAGACAGACGCTGCCTTTCCTGAAGGGCTGAGGCTTTCCCTAGGGGGGAGCCGTATCGCTTTTCCGCAGCCGCGGCCCTGCGGCAAAAAGCGCGCAAGGCCAACATGGCCTGGCCATGGCAGCTTGGGGGGGGTGTCGGGGAGGGAGGTTGTAGGGTAAACTCTAACAAACCGTGCCCCCCCCCAAAAAAAAAACAAAAAAAAACAAAAAGCAAAGAAGAAGAGTTTCCGGCGATCCGAGTCCTCTTGCCCGTTGTTGTGGCTCGCAAGGCAAACCTCTTTTCGGCCCCTTTTCTTAGGATGATCTTAGTTTAATATGGGTAGTTCTCTGAATTAGGGTCCCTTTTGGAGGTCCTTTTGTATAAGGGTGCTGTATTATGTACTGTAGGGGACCCAAAACGGGACTCTAATTTAGAGAACTACCCATATAGTGTAGTCGATAGTAAAGGAAACATAAAATAGTATCGAATATGTTCGTAGCATATGGCCAAGCAGGCCAGCTGCTAGTTTGAAAGAGGGTTGCAATGTGGGGGTTGACCCAAAGCACGGGCCTCCTAGACCCTTCCCCCTAAACCCTAAACCCTACACCCTACACCCTAAACCCTACACCCTACACCCTAAACCCTAAACCCTAACCCCCTCTCCCAAAGCAAAGAAACCGTAAGTTGCATTGCAGACCCTCAAAACCCGGAACCCTGAACCCCAAAAGTGCATCTAAGTCGATCCCACATCTGACTACTTGGAGGTTCATGGGTTCTAAGTAGGGTCATAAGGGCCCTGAATCTCCCTGAACAAAAGGCGTATAAGTGCCTAAATAGGGTTTTAAGTAAAGTTACCAGACTGCTTACCCTAACCCTAAACCCTGAACCCTAAACCCTAAATCCAAAATCCAAAACCCAAAACCCTAAACCCTAAACCCTAAACCCTAAACCCTAAATCCTAAACCCTAAACCCTAAACCCTAAACCCTAGCTACCCTGATGAACTTCCGAGCAAGGCACCTCGGCGGGACTCTTCAACGGGGAGTCCCTGGTGGTGCCTGTGACGGTCCCGGGCTGAGAAGCCCCAGCCCTGGTTTAGGGTTTAGGGTTTAGGGTTTGGGGTTTAGGGTTTAGGGTTTGGGGTTTAGGGTTTAGGGTTCAGGGTTTAGGGTTTAGGGTTTAGGCCGTGCGAAATCTGGTTCTCTTTGGGGCTACTATCCCTTAAAATATTCAGGGTACCCAAAGAAGGGAGCAGCATTTAGAGAACCCACCAGATGTTCCTGGATAAGAGTGCCCACCCCCCAACCCCCCCCCCCCCCCCCTCCCCCCCTTTTTCCGAAAGGAGCCCCCATATTTGGAAGTCTCCGCAGGCCGGAACCCTAAACCCTAAACCCTAAACCCTAAACCCTAAACCCTAAACCCTAAACCCTAAACCCTAAACCCTGAACCCTAAACCCTAAACCCTAACCCCTAAACCCCAAACCCTAAACCCCTCAACCCTCAAGAGCAGCTTCCTGTGCCCTGGAGGTGCCGAAGGTCTTTGTGCCACAGTGCGGGCACGCGATACACACGCTCTGCCTCGGTCCGGAACCCCGGAGTGACCGCCCAGGAGCCCAATATCCCGTCATATTCCCTTAGGGTTTAGGGTTTAGGGTTTAGGCGGTTTTGGGTTCCTATATAAGGGTTTAGGGTTTAGGGTTCCTATATAAGGGTTTTGGGTTTAGGGCTTCAGGGTTCTGGGTAAGGGATGCTTGCGCCACATGTAGGACGTACTCCTTCGTTTTGTGACCAGTTCCTTGGCTTCTACTTGGACGCTTTAGGATTTAGGCCAACCCCTCCCCATAGAAATAGCGCACGCAGCAGCACCGGTTCTCTTATTTATGGTCCCAGTGTGGAACACCCTATATCGTAGCATATGAAATCCCCCCTCTTCCCTTGCACCCCCCACAAAACCAGGGACCTGCAACCCTAAACCCTAAACCCTAAACCCTAAATCCTAAACCCTAAACCCTAAATCCTAAACCCTAAACCCTAAACCCTAAACCCGCTGAGGCCGGCAGATTTTCCCGGACGATGAAGCGAGCGCTCGCGGGGACTGCTGCAGCCTCGGGGCTTTAGGGTTTAGGGTTTAGAGTTTAAAGTTTAGGGTTTAGGGTTTAGGGTTTAGAGTTTAAAAGTTTGGGGTTTAGGGTTTAGGGTTTGGTGTTTGGAGCTTAGGGTTTTCGGGGTTTGAGGTGCCCAATGTCTAAGGCTATTGACAGCGTCCCTGAGTATGGTCCCTTACCTTCTTCCAAGAGTTCTAAGAAGGTTTCTGAAGTATGGGCCCTTGCGTTTTATGAGGTATATAAGGGGTATATAAGGGTTTCCCAAGTAAGGGCCCATGCTAAGGGACCATGTGCCTACCCTGAGACGATGCATCTTAAGAAGGGAATAGACTGAATACTTGATTCATGGGACTTACCAGCCACTTATAACTGTACTTATAACCCTACTTATAACTGGGATAACCCCTATAAGGCCCTTTAGGGGGTATTATAAGTAGGGTTATAAGTACAGTTATAAGTGGTTAGTAAGTACCATGAACCTCCAAGTAGACCTCAATCGATGTAGGGGCCTCCTTGCCATGAATTAAGGGTATATTCCTTAGTTCTCATCGGTTACTTTTTAAGGTTTCCCCTAAACCCTAAACCCTTAAACCCCCAACCCTCAAGCCCCTGTAGCTTGAAATCATTCAGAAGGTAAAAGAGAAGCCCTCCTTGAAAACTCCACGAAGCTTCCCTCGGAATTTTCCACCCTAAACCCTAAACCCTAAACCTTAAACTCTGAGCCCTGAACCCTGAACCCTAAGCCCTAACCCTAAACCCTAAACCCTAAACCCTAAACCCTAAACCCTAAACCCTAAACCCTAAACCCTAAACCCTAAACCCTAAACCCTAAACCCTAAACCCTGAACCCTAAACCCTAAACCCTGAGCCCTAAACCATAAACCTTAAACCCTAAACCCTAAACCCTAAACTTCACGTCGGAGGCCGCAGATGTGGCATGCCCTATGCCTGGACGGGAATCGACGTCCCGGGCCCAGTGCCGGCGAAGCCCCTGAAAGCCAAAAGCCCTACCATGGGAAGCTAAGGGTTTAGGGTTTAGGGTTTAGGGTTTAGGTTTTCGGGCTTCGGGTTGAGGGTTCAGGGTTTCGGGCAAACCCCAAAGCTCCCCTACAACCAGAATCTCTGACTTTGTGACGTTGTGGGCCCCCGAGGTATTTTGTCAAACCGCCCTTAGGGATTAGGGTTTCGGGTTGAGATTATTTTGAATTAATGGCTGTATTTGAATGTGTTTTTTCCATTATCATTGTTACGTTTTCATTGTTTATTTATTTATTTATTTTTGAGGGGGGGGGGGGGGCGGGGCTGGTTGGAATTTAGGGCGTGTGCTTGTTAAGTGGATCTCAACGAGAAGGTCGGACGGAGCAGCTTGGCATACTGTAAGCAGGCTTGCTGATCCCCAAATCTGCGGCTAAGGCCCCTGGCTTTTATGGGGGCATATCGGACCCCTGTAAAGACAAAACATGGGACATACACTAGGTATAAACACGGCCTCCAGACCTAAAACGGGCCCCAAACCCCAAACCCCAAACCCCAAACCCCAAACCCCAAGCCCCAAACCCCAAACCGCAAACCCCAAACCGCAAACCCCAAACCCCAAACCCTAAACCCCAAACCCCAAACCCGAAACCCCAAACCCCAAACCCCAAACCCTAAACCCTAAACCCATATCAGGAGGCCACGCCGATCTTTATCTGTGACTTTTTGCCTTCCCCGACTCTGAAAGTCAGGACTTGATAATCGTTTGAACCCTGAAGCCTGAACCTCAAACCCTAAATCATAACTTGGTAGCCCGGTGGTGCCCTTTTTTTGGGTTCTGGGTTCCCTTATGAAGCAACCAACCCAGAAAAGGGCACCCTTATTATAAGATGGTTGCTGGGCTACCAAGATAAGGGTTGTTCTAGAGTTCCTTTAAAGCAAAGGAACCTGCCTTCATGGTTATTGTGGGGGCGGGGTTGTTGCAGCTGCCATACCGTCAGTCGGTTCTTTGGAATCGTGGCCCTTTCCCTTATTATATATATATATATATGTATATATGTATCTATTATAGCACAGAGTGGTTTAGTTGAGCGGTGTTTCGCTGAGGTTGATCCAATCGTCAATGCCTTCTGTCGGAACCTCTGCGTTTGAGACTTGAACGTCTTATTTGGGAACACCCCAACGTCTTATCATCTTTTTCAGCTGGTGCAGCATACCCTAAACCCTAAACCCTAAACCCTAAACCCTAAACCCTAAACCCCAAACCCTAAACCCTAAACCCTAAAGCCTACTCCACTGCTGCCCTCGCTGCCTGGATGCTGACTTGGGAGGCCTGATGTTCGGCCCCTACGTGGACCAGCGATCACAGGCAACGGGTGTGCCTGTACCCGGAGAGCCCAACAGTTGCCAACACAACGCGTAGGGAATGCGCCTGAAGCTCCCCAGAAATCTTTAGTATGATTCAAGGAACCCTATAGGCCTAGACCCTAAACCCTAAAGCTAGGTCCCTAAACCACATGGGTTGGATTAAGGAATATTCGGCTCTCTGAGTGCTGTAGCTGAAGCGCGTTAGCCAGGGCCGAAAACCCCAAACCCCAAACCCTAAACCCTAAACCCTAAACCCCAAATCCAGGACATGTGTGATGAAGGGAAGCTGTCGGCTGAAGCGATCACGAGAATCTCGGAGGCGGGTCCGGTCCACCATGGCTTGGGGGTTTAGGGTTTAGGGTTTAGGGTTTAGGGTCTAGGGTTTAGGGTTTAGGGTTTAGGGTTTAGGGCTACTGCTTGGAGGTTCATGGGTAGTTATAAGTAGGGTCAGAAGTAAGTACCCATGAGCCTCCAGGTAAGGTTTGCCCAGAGAGCCCATAATTCCCCTTAAAGGGGTGTACCTTAAGTCATACTGAGGGTCCTTGGGAACATTTGGTATGGGGTTCTTTGGGGTTAGGGAGGTTGTGGGGAGGCTGCAGCCAACGAATATGAAGAACTCTCAAAAAGCGCTCTTCACCCCACCTTAGTGAAGGAATAGGTTTGGGGCTTCGGGATCAGGGTCCAGGGCCAGGTTTCGGGGCCCTCATGGTGTAATAAAGAAAGAGATCGTAGATCACACTTCGAGCCCCCCTATGGCTTAAGGTATATTCACTCACGAGGGGACACATGGGTAAAACATATCTTAAATCACGCTTCGAACCCCCTGTATAGTGTTTAAGGTATATTTCATGGTACGTACTAAACAAAATTATAACTGTACTTATAACCCTACTTATAATACCCCTAAAGGGCCTTATAAGGGGTTATCCCACTTATGAGTAGGGTTATAAGTACAGTTATCAGTGGTTAGTAAGTCCCATGAACCTCCAAGTAAAGGATCTTGGGCCTCTCGGGAAGAAGTGTAAGCATGAGGCGCCAAGAGCATTGCTTCTGTCGTCCAAGCTTCTGCTCATGGCCAGACCCAAAGAGCCCAACACCCCTTAATTAAGGAGTATCTAAACCCTAAACCCTAAACCCTAAACCCTAAACCCTAAACCCTTAACCCTTAACCCTTAACCCTTAACCCTAAACCCTAAACCCTAAGCCCTAAGCCCTAAGCCCTAAACCCTAAACCTTATTCCCTGAATTAAGGGTTTTTCGACTCTCTGCCTTCGTCCAGGTTTGCGTCAACTTCTCGCTGGAGCTTGGCGGGTGCGGGGTCCCAGCAAGCCAGAGCCTCCTGCCCCAAAGCCCTGCCAATACAAGCCCTAAACCCTAAACCCGCCCGCCGCTGTACATATGTGTGTGTGTGTCTATATATGTGTGTATATATATATGTATATGTATATGTGTATTTGTATATATATATGTATATGTATATATACCGTTTGTACTCCGTTGGAGGCGCCTGGGCGGTTGTAGAGGCACCGTAACCCCTAAACCCCAAACCCCAAACCCTAAACCCTAAATCCCAAACCCCAAACCCCAAACCCCAAACCCTGAACCCTAAACCCTAAACCCCAAACCCTAGACCCTAAACCCTAAACCCTCAAGCCGAGGCTGGTCAGTGCCACAAATGCCTGGCTGCTGCTCTGCCGGCGCCACACCTTCGCCGAGCCCGAGATCGCCAGAGCCCCAAGGGTTCAGGGTTTAGGGTTTGGGGTTTGGGGTTTGGGGTTTAGGGTTTAGGGTTTAGGGTTTGGGGTTTAGGGTTTAGGGTTTGGGGTTTAAGGTTTAGGGTTCAGGGTTTGGGGTTTTGGGTTTAGGGGCTCGAGGTTCAGGTTTGTGATGTGGGGGCCTGAATATTATTAATTGGAAAAGGGGGGGGGGTGATCATAGTATGCTTATATAGGGACCTTAAGGGAATGCTATTAGTAATTATTCCGACCCTAGATTGCAGGGTTTTGGGGTTTAAGGTCCAGGGTTTTGGGGTTCAGGGTTTGAGGGTCTATTTTTCTGGTTTTGTTTTATTTTTTGGTGATTGTAAGGGGATAAGCTAGAGATCTGTGCAGTTATGCTGGCTCCTGATAGAAAAGATTGAAAGGAAAGAGGTTCCTGATAGATAGATAAGATTGAAAGGAAAGGTTCCCAGAAACAATATTCTTTAATTTGATTGTGATTGGGCATTTCATGTGGCTCAATTCAGTATGAAGAAGCGCAGGAAGTGAGCGCACATAGCTTAGTCGAATGGTGCTTTTTATAGTTTTTTATATAGAGCCCCAAGGTTCAGTAAATTCCAAAGGATCATTGACTTGCACGAGTTTGTTATCATGATCCGGTGTTTTGGGTGCAGTGAACGCAGCAGAATGAGGGGGCACATAGCTTTTGATATTAAGCGAATCGACAGGCCAGGTTACGAGACAAGAAATGTATGTCTTGCATCTTCAGGTCTGAATCTTGCAAACTCATTACAGCACCAAACGAGCGAACCTACCAACGCCAAATTCCCTTCATTGAGCTTCCTTGGCCGGTGTGTTTCTCACTGTGTAGATCAAACAGACAAGCAAAGAAGAAACGTTGTCTCAGGCGTCGTGCAGTAAGGACCCATCATCTTCCCAAAAGATGGCCTTAACCAAGCCTCATTCCCAACAAGAAGGCCTTATTCTAAGCGCAGTTTGCGGTTTCGGGAATGAACGGCAGAAGAAGCAGTAGTAGTTGCAGTAACTTATTGAATGCGCGTGGCAGGGTGGGTCGAGGGAGGTCGAGGCGTTCTCATTCTATTCACTGTTCTCCGATCTACAAGTTACTGACCCCACACCCCGAACCCTAAACCCTAAACCCTAAACCCTAAACCCCTAACATGGATCCTGAGGGCCTAACATACTAAAACGCCAAACCCAAAACCCAAAACCCTAAACCCAGAACCTGGGGCCCCAAGCCCCGGAACCTGAAGGCCATGAAGGGCACCCTAAACCCTAAACCCTAAACCCTAAACCCTAAACCCTAAACCCTAAACCCTAAACCCTAAACCCTAAACCCTAAACCCTAAACCCTAAACCCTAAACCCTAAACCCTAAACCCCAAACCCTAAACCCTAAACCCTAAACCCTAGACACAGATTTGAGAAGAACTCTGAGGTGAAGATCGTTGGCGATGTGGGGCCGCCCAGCTTTCTCTGTGCCGTCGGCGGTCGTGGTTCAGGGTTCAGGGTTTTAAGCTGCCCCTAAACCCTAAACCCTAAACCCTAAACCCTAAACCCTAAACCCTAAACCCTAAACCCTAAACCCTAAACCCGAAATACTAAACCCTAAGCCCCACGTAGAGCCCACCCTCATCTCGTCTGCGCTCAACGCGAAGCCCGGGATCGCACCCCAAACGTCACGCAAAGCCTCAGAAGCTCTACAAAAAGCCCCCCAAAGCCTGGCCCAAACCCTAAACCCCAAGCCCTAAACCCTAAACCCCAAATCCTAAACCCTAAACCCTAAACCCTAAACCCCAAACCCCAAACCCCAAGCCCTAAACCCCAAACCACAAGCCCCTAAGCCCTCTCCTAGAAAACGGCCCAGGAAGTGATGAGGCCGGCAGGGATCGGTTTTTTGCAGTGTCTTGAGTTCAGGGGTTGAGCAGCCCGAAGCCCGAAACCCGAAACCCGAAACCCGAAACCCCTAAGCCCGAAGCCCTAAGCCCTAAGCCCTAAGCCCGAAGCCCGAAGCCCGAAGCCCTCAGCCCTCAGCCCTCAGCCCTCAGCCCTAAGCCCTAAACCCTAAACCTAACCCCAACCCCCAAACCCTGAACCCTGCTCTTTTGTCAGGGTGTCGGTCTTGGCGGGGGGAGGTTTGCAGGCTTGCGGGGGTTCAGGGTTTAGGGTTTAGGGTTTAGGAGTTCAGGGTGGGTGTGGGGGTTTTAAGGTGTGATGGGCTTGCGGGTTCAGGGCTTAAGGCTTGATAGGTGTTTAGTCGACAAAAACTCCGGAGTGGGCCTTCGCAGGCTCGGTTTTGTGGAAGCGGAGAGAGGTTTAGGCAGGATTCCGGGTAAAAACCCAACCCGCCCCCCCCCCCCCCCCCCCCCACCACCCCCCACCCCCCCCACCCCCCCCCCCCCCCCCCCCCCCCCCCCCCCCCCCCCCCCACCCCCACCGCACCCCCCCCACCCCCCCCCCCCCCCCCCCCACCCCCCCCCCCCCCCACCACCCCCCACCCCCCCCCCCCCCCCCCCCCCCCACCCCCCCCCCCCCCCCCCCCCCACCCCGCCCACCCCCCCCCCCCGCCCCCCCCCGCCCCCCCAAAAACAAACCCTAAACCCTAAACCCAAAACCCGAAAACCTTAAACCCTGCACCCTGAACCCTACCTTGGACAAACTTTCTGTCATGGCTTGGCCTGTGAAAGGTGCCACTGCTTTCGTTTCTGGAGTCGCATGTGGTAGTCAGTTGGGGTCGAGATTTCTGCTAAACCGTAGGACATTAGGATTTCAGGATTCCGAAGGGTTTTTAGGGTTTAGGGCTAGGGGTTTAGGGCAGAGGTTTAGGATTCAGGGTTCAGGGTTCAGGGCTACTACTTGGAGGCTAATGGGTACTTACAACTGCCCATGAAACTCGAAGTAGTAGGGCCCTCCAAGGGGACTGCAATTCCCACACCCCTCCCCACATCACATAATGGCCCAAAACCCCGAAGAGTACAAGCCTCAACCCTAAACCCTATAGAACCCTCAACCCTAAAGCCTAAATATAGAGGTCAGAACAATGACTCATAGTGCTCCCTTGTGGTCCCCTAAACCCGAAAAACTATATCCCTAAACCCTAAACCCCTAACCCCTAAACCCTAAGCCCTAAACTCTAAACCCTAAACCCTAAACCCTAAACCCGTCGGCTGTCTGACCATCAGGCTGCTCACTCTGCCGGAGGATGCCCGAGGAGGGCAGCTAGAGGCCCATCGAATCGGTCAGGACCCCTAAACCCCTAACAGCTAAACCCTAAACCCCTAACCCCTAACCCCTAAACCCTAAACCCTAAACCGCTGCGCCAGCTTCCGACCCTGGTCCCCGTGCTGCCGCCGCGCCCTCGGTCGCAGCATCCCAACGATTGGGGGACGCTGCTTGGGTTTTTAGGGTTTAAGGGGTTTAGGGTTTTAGGGTTTAGGGTTATAGGGTTTAGGGGTTTAGGGTTTAGGGTTTAGGGTTTAAGGGTTTAAGGGTTTAGGGTTTTAGGGGTTTAGGGTTTCAGGGTTTAGGGTTTTAGGGTTTAGGGTTTAGGGTTTTTAAGGTTTTAGGGGTTTAGGATTTAGGGTTTTAGGGTTTTAGGGTTGTAGGGGTTTAGGGTTTCAGGGTTCAGGGTTTTAGGGTTTAGGGTTTAGGGTTTAAGGGTTTAGGGGTTTAGGGTTTCGGGTTTTAGCGTTTTAGATGTTTAGGGGTTCAGGGTTTTAGGGTTTAGGCTTTTAGGGGTTAGGGGTTTAGGGTTTTAGGGTTTAGGGTGTTAAGGTTTAGGGTTTAGGGTTTAAGGGCTTCGGGTTTAGGGTTTTAGGGTTTCAGGGTTTAGGGTTTAGAGTTTAGAGTTCTGGGTTTAGGGATTAGGGTTTGGGGTTTCGGTTTAGGGATTAGGGTTTGTTTGGGGTAGGGTTCTCAACTTGCGAGCTGTTTGTCGGAAATTGTGGGTTTAGTGTTGTCTTCAAGCTTGAGGGTTCAGCGTCCTTTTAAGCTTTAGGACTGCGGGGTTTAGGGTTCGTAGCTTTGGGGTGCAGATTTTAAAGTTTCTCGGCATACGAATACTCCTGAAATCTCAATAGTTGCTCGCATCGTGATATGATCGGAGGAAGATTCTTTGACTATAGATGAAGCATTAGAGTCTCAGGCTACTAGTTCTTTAACGGGAACTAGGGAAACCAGGCACCTCCCCCTAAACCCGAAACCCGAAACCCGAAACCCAAAACCCTAAACCCTAAGCCCCGAGCCCTAAACCCTAAACCCTGAACTCTTCGCGGGATTGCATTGTGCGGGATTCTATTGTAGGGAGCCCTGGTTCCCTACCCTGAGGCCTGAGGCCCTCAAGGAGGGTTAGGGTCAGGGCCAACCCTAAACCCCAAACCCTCCCCCCCCCCCCCCCCCCAAACCCTAAACCTCCTAAACCCTAGACCCCCCCAAACCCCACACCCCTGAACCCTAAACCCTAAACCCTAAACCCTAAAAACCCTAAACCTTAAACTCTAAACCCTAAACCGTGAAACCCTAAAACCCTAAACCCTAAACCCTAAAACCTAAACCCTAAACCCTAAACCCTAAACCCCAAACCCTAAACCCCAAACCCTAAACCCTAAACCCTAAACCCCAACCCTAAACCCCAAACCCTAAACCCTAAACCCTAAACCCTAAACCCTAAACCCCCCTCCCCCCACCAGGGGCGAAGTGGCTGGGGGCCCTGACCTGGAGCCCTTGGAGCCGTCGCTCGGCTGGTTTTCTTATTGTTGGTTAGCGGTTTAGGGTTTAGGGTTTGGGGTTTGGGGTTTGGGGTTTGGGGTTTAGGGTTTGGGGTTTGGGGTTTAGGGTTTAGGGTTTACGGTTTGTGGGCTTAGGGCCCAGTAGCCAAACCCTAAACTAAACCCTAACCCCCAAATTGAATTCAATAATCCCAAAAAGAGTTTTTTTAAACGTTTTTCATCATTTGTCTGCTTATGGTCTAAGGTATGTTCCTGCATCAAGGTGTATTGGGCTCGCTGGGGAGCTGGGGTTGTATGGGGTCTAGGGTGTAGTGCTTAGGGGACCTGAGGATAGCGACCCATATTTACATATATATATATATACACACACACATATACACATATATATGTATACACACACACCTTCTACGTACGTAGGTTGCGCCAAAAACAGCCCTGTAAGGGCCCCGCCTGTCGCTTGTTAAAGGGAGTTCAGTCGGGTTTTGCGAGTTTGGGATGAATTTGGGCGTCAGGGATGTTACGCTTTAGGGCTCAAAGCCCTAAGCCCTCAGAGCCCGAAACCCTAAGCCCTAAACCCCAAGCCCTCAACCCTAAACCCTAAGCCCTAAACCCTAAACCCTAAACCCTAAACCCGAAACCCTAAAGCCCTAAACCCTAAACCCTAAACTCCTAAGTTGCAGATCCGAGGCCTGAATTCGCACTTCCCATGCCAGCATCGCCCACGGACGAGGAGCTGCGCATGTCGAGCCGCAAAGGGGGGGGGTTTAGGGTTTAGGGTTTAGGGCTATTCTTCAGGGATTCTATGGTGCTATGTTTTGAGCGGTCGATGAGGGGTCCCGCGAGGATCCCTGAGATGGGTCAAGTCTGTAGGGCACCCGAAGCCGTGGAGAGCTGAATGTACCCTTAAGGTGACCTTCGCCAGAAGAGGCTCAGATTCGCCTGTTGTGTTCTGATCTCCCTGACAAGCTTTGAAGCCATGGCCCCCATGAAGGCAATGAAGGCCACGGGAGCTGCAAAGAGCATGAAGGTGATGAAGATGAAGGCAGTCCGTGCCATGCCGAAGAGTGGCATTGCCGCTCAGGTGGCCGAGAGCACCGGCTTGAAGAAGGGCGACGTGACACAGGTGCTGACTTCCTTGGCTGACATCGGTGCCACGGAGGTGAAGAAGACAGGCAAGTTTGTCCTTCCCGGACTCGTCATGATCAAGACCCGCACGAAGCCGGCCACGAAGGCCGGAACGAAGATGATGTTCGGCAAGGAGGTGACAGTCAAGGCGCAGCCGGCAAAGACGGTCGTGAAAGCCATGCCCGTGAAGGCAGTGAAGGACCAGTTCTGAGCCACGGGCATCTGAAGCGTTAGGTTTTGGGAAGAAAGCTGAGGGCTTGTATGTTCAGGCTCGGGCTTCTTGCTTTGTGTGAAGATGAGCCTTGCTTTCGTGGTCGTTCATGGAGCGGGCCCTCTTCATCTCCGCTGTGAGGTGTACAGATCTGGCGTGTCGGCATGGGATATGCTGAGGCAGCAGCCAAGAACAGCCAAGAAGTCAAGCTGCGCACATTTCTGTTGCCTTTCTGTTTTTGTGTGTTGTGTCATGGGTCGGTCCGAGTAGTTCCTCAAAGTTTTTTTCGCTTATGCCAGAAGAGGCTCAGATTCGCCTGTTGTGTTCTGATCTCCCTGACAAGCTTTGAAGCCATGGCCCCCATGAAGGCAATGAAGGCCACGGGAGCTGCAAAGAGCATGAAGGTGATGAAGATGAAGGCAGTCCGTGCCATGCCGAAGAGTGGCATTGCCGCTCAGGTGGCCGAGAGCACCGGCTTGAAGAAGGGCGACGTGACACAGGTGCTGACTTCCTTGGCTGACATCGGTGCCACGGAGGTGAAGAAGACGGGCAAGTTTGTCCTTCCCGGACTCGTCATGATCAAGACCCGCACGAAGCCGGCCACGAAGGCCGGAACGAAGATGATGTTCGGCAAGGAGGTGACAGTCAAGGCGCAGCCGGCAAAGACGGTCGTGAAAGCCATGCCCGTGAAGGCAGTGAAGGACCAGTTCTGAGCCACGGGCATCTGAAGCGTTAGGTTTTGGGAAGAAAGCTGAGGGCTTGTATGTTCAGGCTCGGGCTTCTTGCTTTGTGTGAAGATGAGCCTTGCTTTCGTGGTCGTTCATGGAGCGGGCCCTCTTCATCTCCGCTGTGAGGTGTACAGATCTGGCGTGTCGGCATGGGATATGCTGGGGCAGCAGCCAAGAACAGCCAAGAAGTCAAACTGCGCACATTTCTGCTGCCCTTTTGTTTTTGTGTGTTGTGTCATGGGTCGGTCCGAGTAGTTCCTCAAAGTTTTTTCGGTTGTGCCAGAAGAGGCTCAGATTCGCCTGTTGTGTTCTGATCTCCCTGACAAGCTTTGAAGCCATGGCCCCCATGAAGGCAATGAAGGCCACGGGAGCTGCAAAGAGCATGAAGGTGATGAAGATGAAGGCAGTCCGTGCCATGCCGAAGAGTGGCATTGCCGCTCAGGTGGCCGAGAGCACCGGCTTGAAGAAGGGCGACGTGACACAGGTGCTGACTTCCTTGGCTGACATCGGTGCCACGGAGGTGAAGAAGACAGGCAAGTTTGTCCTTCCCGGACTCGTCATGATCAAGACCCGCACGAAGCCGGCCACGAAGGCCGGAACGAAGATGATGTTCGGCAAGGAAGTGACAGTCAAGGCGCAGCCGGCAAAGACGGTCGTGAAAGCCATGCCCGTGAAGGCAGTGAAGGACCAGTTCTGAGCCACGGGCATCTGAAGCGCTAGGTTTTGGGAAGAAAGCTGAGGGCTTGTATGTTCAGGCTCGGGCTTCTTGCTTTGTGTGAAGATGAGCCTTGCTTTCGTGGTCGTTCATGGAGCGGGCCGTCTTCATCTCCGCCGTGAGGTGTACAGATCTGGCGTGTCGGCATGGGATATGCTGAGGCAACAGCCAAGAACAGCCAAGAAGTCAACCTGCGCACGTTCCTGTTGCCTTTTTTGGTTTTTGTGTGTTGTTTCAGGGGTCGGTCCGAGTAGTTGGACCACGGCGCGTACTCGGCCGTGGGTTAAAGTCCACTTTTTGGAGTGTATCTGTGTGTATCTGTGGTTTAAGGGGGGGAATGGGGGGGGGCGGGGGGGATTCAGAACGTCATTCATATTGCGCCTATGCCCAAAACCCTGGCATTTACCGCATTTTCATCTCTTTGTACAACATACTGCGCAAGGATGTGCGCAAGGATGTGGAACAAGACACATCACCGCAAGCGTCCATGCCTTTGGTGACCATGCCCAAAACACTTGCATTTACAGCGTTTTCATCACGCTGTACAACATCCTGCGCAAGGATGTAGAACAAGACACGCTGTCACAAGCGTCCATGCTTTTGGCGACCATGCCCAAAACACTGTTATTTACAGCGTTTTGTGATTCTGCGTTTAGCGACCTGCTGAAAGAAAACTTTAAGGTTCTTGATCTTTTCACACTCACACATGAGTCATCAACCACATAAGTATGAATCTTGTTGTGCGAATTTCCAAGTAGTTTTCTCGCGTGATTTTTAACTCTTTTTTTGCGCCTTTTTTTACATTACACCCAAGTGACGAATACATTGTACAAACCAATACGCCGTGCACTTCCCTTCGATCTGAGCATGTCTCTGAGAAGCCACGGCCGTGAACGCGCCGTGGACCGAGTAGTTCCTCAAGGTTTTTCGGTTGTGCCAGAAGAGGCTCAGATTCGCCTGTTGTGTTCTGATCTCCCTGACAAGCTTTGAAGCCATGGCCCCCATGAAGGCAATGAAGGCCACGGGAGCTGCAAAGAGCATGAAGGTGATGAAGATGAAGGCAGTCCGCGCCATGCCGAAGAGTGGCATTGCCGCTCAGGTGGCCGAGAGCACCGGCTTGAAGAAGGGCGACGTGACACAGGTGCTGACCTCCTTGGCTGACATCGGTGCCACGGAGGTGAAGAAGACAGGCAAGTTTGTCCTTCCCGGACTCGTCATGATCAAGACCCGCACGAAGCCGGCCACGAAGGCAGGAAAGAAGATGATGTTCGGCAAGGAAGTGACAGTCAAGGCGCAGCCGGCAAAGACGGTCGTGAAAGCCATGCCCGTGAAGGCAGTGAAGGACCAGTTCTGAGCCACGGGCATCTGAAGCGCTAGGTTTTGGGAAGAAAGCTGAGGGCTTGTATGTTCAGGCTCGGGCTTCTTGCTTTGTGTGAAGATGAGCCTTGCTTTCGTGGTCGTTCATGGAGCGGGCCCTCTTCATCTCCGCCGTGAGGTGTACAGATCGGGCGTGTCGGCATGGGATATGCTGGGGCAACAGCCAAGAAAAGCCAAGAAGTCAAACTGCGCACGTTCCTGTTGCCTTTCTGTTTTTGTGTGTTGTGTCATGGGTCGGTCCGAGTAGTTCTTCAAAGTATTGTTAAACTCCAAGCCCTAATCCCTAAACCCTAAACCCTAAACCCCAAACCCTAAACCCTAAACCCCCAAGCTGACTTCCGGAAAGACCCTGGGTGCTCCCAAGCGGATCTGTCGAAGGGCGACGCCGCCAGCGTGGACTTGCCAACAGATGACGAGGACTGAAGACGTTCAAGTTAGGGTTTAGGGTTTAGGGTTTAGGGTTTAGGGTTTAGGGTTTAGGGTTTAGGGTTTAGGGTTTAGGGTTTAGGGTTTAGGGTTTAGGGTGAGTTGAGGGTTTGGGGTTAAGTTAGGGTCTGGGAGTCAGGGTTGTAGGGGGTAGTTGGGCTGGTGTAGCACAGGATGCCCTAAGTCCCAAACCCTAAACCCTAAACCTTAAACCCTATACCGCCTATACCCTAAACCCTAAACCCTACCCTATATCTGGACTGCGGAGGCGGGTTCTGAGTGCCTGAGATTAGGGTTTGGGGTTTGGGGTTTATGGTTCAAGGTTCAGGGTTTCAAAGGTTTAGGGGTGCCCGAAAATGCTGCAGACATACCCCCCCCCCCCCCAAAAAAATAGAGAGGAACTCTGCGCGGACCCCAGTGCCGTGATGCTGAATCAGCTGGTGGAAGGCCAGACGCGTAAGAGCACCGATCGCCCCTAGACAATGAGAGGGTTTAGGGTTTATGGTTTAGGGTTTGGGGTTTAGGGTTTAGGGCTTAGGGTTTAGGGTTTAGGGTGGGTTGAGTTTGTTTTGGTATGGGCGTTCAGGGTGTAGGGTTTACCTTGAACCCTAAACCCTAATCATCATCGATCCACTTCAAACGGATAAACATATTCAGATTCTATCAATTACAACAAACCCACGTCACATCGGCATATAAACCATGGAGACACACTATATTACCTGCCAATATGAGAGAACAAATGGATAGTACAGAAGATGAACCTCAATTGGATAGTATAATAGATTATTTCATATCAGTGATCAGTCATAGGGTTTAGGGTTTAGGGTTTAGGATGGTCATATGTAAACGAAGGCGAAAGAGCGGCCTCTACAAAGAGAAAGCGCTGCCTCTAAAGTTTTGAAACGGCTTCATCTCATCTTTTGGCCGCGAAACCTCAAAACCCTAAACCCTAAACCCGAAACCCTAAACCCTAAACCCTAAACACATGTGACCCCGTGAAGGCTGCGACGGCGACAGAAGCTTGAATGGTCTGCTTCCACATGCCCAGTTCATGTGAATTCACAGGCAAAGAAGCCCAGGGTCCGCCTCGTTTAGGGTTTAGGGTTTAGGGTTTAGGGTTAGGGGTTTAGGGTTAGGGGTTTAGGGTTGAGGGTTGAGAGTTTAACAGAACACCCGGAGACGCCAGCATACAGTTGTTGCGATCCCGAGACTGTCGGGTGTGAGGGATCCACTTGTTGCCGCCTCTGGGTCTTAAGGTTTAAGGGGTTTTAAGGGGTTTAGGGGTTCAGGATTTAGGATTCAGGGTCTAAGGGATTTAAGGGATTAAAGGGGTTTAAGGGGTTTAAGGGGTTAGGGGTTCAGGATTTAGGGTTCAGGGTTTAAGGGGTTTAGGCGTTCAGGATTTAGGGTTCAGGGTCTAAGGGGTTTAAGGGGTTTAAGGGGTTTAAGGGGTTTAAGGGGTTTAAGGGGTTTAAGGGGTTTAAGGGGTTTAAGGGGTTTAAGGGGTTTAAGGGGTTTAAGGGGTTTAAGGGGTTTAAGGGGTTTAAGGGGTTTAAGGGGTTTAAGGGGTTTAAGGGGTTTAAGGGGTTTAACGGGTCTAGTGTTGAAGGGGCTTAAGGGGAGGGGTTGAGGAGTTTAGGGTTGAGGGTTTCGGGTAAGAGGGCCAAAGTGATGTTCTCGCAAAGCGCACGCAAGCGGACCTTGGACACCTTTGTGAACCCTGTGGCATTGTTGTGTTCCAGCTTCCCATAAACCCTAAAACCCTAAAACCCTAAACCCTAAACCCTAAACCCCAAACCCTAAACCCTAAACCCCAAACCCTAAACCCTAAACCCTAAACCCCAAACCCCAAACCCCTAAAACCCCCAAAGACTGAGGGCCAGGTCCCGAGTGCGAAATGCGCACGGGGCCGAAAGGGGACCAGAAGCTCATTGGGGCAGTTCTCCAAACTAAGGGTTTAGGGTTTAGGGTTTAGGGTTTAGGGTTTAGGGTTTCATTAGGATTTAGGGTTTAGGGCTTACGGGTAGTTGCACGGTCCCTTAGTATGAGGGGGCCTTTAAGGGGACCCCTTATAGACCCCTTTTCTCCCCTATACAACCCAGGGGCCCATACTTGGAGGTAAGGGACCATATTAAGGGACCATCTTGCTAGCCTTAGAACTACCGTAACTCTTGACTTAGTCTCCTTAGGAAGTATAGGGTTCAGGGCTTGGGCTTTAGGGTCTTAGGGGTTTGTTTAGGTTTAGCGAAGTAGGGTATGTTTAGGGTTAAGGGTTCAGGGCACCAAAGTAGCAGCGGCGCATATCTACGTATATATATATATATATATACATATACAGATCTATCTATAAATAAATAAATAAATAAAAATATATATATATATATATACACATGTATTTCTGTATACATGTACAATCTTTATTGGGTTCTTAAGGGGAGCCTAGTCCTCTAAGAAGATACGGAGCCTTGCATATGTAGGGCACTTTACCCGAACAGGTGCCATCACAAAGAGCGCAAAGCCCTAAGCCTTAGGCCTTTAATCGGACTGTCGGGCTTAGGTTTTGGGTTTTTGGGTTTAGGGTTTAGGGTTTAGGGTTTAGGGCTTAGGGCTTAGGGTTTAGGGTTTAGGGTTTAGGGTTTAGGGTTAGGGTAGTACTCCGACCACGAAGTTTAGAGAACTGGCCATCTCAGCTCCGGGGTGTCAAATGTGGGACAGGTCCTTGCTTTTTAATGCTCGGAACATCCCCGCAGCCCTGTGCCCATGCGTCCGAAAATGGTCTTGCTGTGGTTAGACCCGAAGCCCTAACGGCGAAACCCTAAACCCTAAACCCCAAACCCTAAACCCTAAACCCTAAACCCTAAACCCAAAACCCTAAACCCTAGACCCTGACAACCTTAACACCCTGACACCCTAACGCCCTAACCCTTAAACCCGCCCAAAATCGGTGTGGGGGCCGCAAGGTACAGTGACTCCCTTCTCAGAATTGAACGGGAGGCTCAGGGGCCTCATAAGCATAACAACATCTAGAATCACAGGAATACATGTCAGATCCACATGAGAAAAGAACAAGAATGCTCTAACGAAATGGGGTTCCGGAATGAGGGCTGCCTTATCGGGTCCTTACCTTAAGGGAATCCTGCTAGGGAGTCCATATTCGGGGGTTTGCCTTCGGACCTTAAGCCCCAAACCTCAAACCCCGCGCCCCAAACCCTACATCCTAAACCCAAAGACCCAAAGACCCTAAGACCCTAAGACCCTAAGACCCTAAGACCCTAAGACCCTAAGACCCTAAGACCCTAAGACCCTAAGACCCTAGACCCTAGACCCTACACCCTAAACCCTAAAGCCTAAACCCTCCCTACATCCTAAGCCCTAAGCCCCGAACATCCGAAGCCCGAAGCCTTGCAGAGGCACAGCGGAATTCGGCAGCTGTGGAGAGCCGATTGCCCAGCCAGGGTTTGGGGTTTAGGGTTTGGGGTTTGGGGTTTAGGTTTTAGGGTTTAGGGTTTAGGGTCTAGGGCTTAGGGTTTAGGGTCTCAGGGTCTGAAGGTTTAGGGTCTAGGGTTTAGGGTGTATGCTGGGAGCCAGGGTGGTGAGATTGGGAATCACGAGCAGCTTCCTAGAGAGCCCGATGCCCTTTCAGGGTTCAGGGTTTAGGGTTTAGGGTTTAGGGTTTGGGGTTTGGGGTTTGGGTTTTAGGGTTCAGGCTTAGTTCAAGACAGGGCTTGAATGACATAGGGGGTTCTTTCTGTGAATTTGCAGGCATAGGACGGTGGTCCTTAACTAAGGGATATTCTTGCTCTCCGGACTGAGCAGCAGCTGGAGCAGCAGGAGCATGAACAGTTGGGGGGGTTTAGACTCCAATATCCCTCGAGATCTTGAAAGGATGGGAGAGTCCCTCAAGTAAGGGTTCTAGGGTTTCTTGACTTAAGGGCGTAGGGCTCAGGGCTTAGGGTTTAGGGTTTAGGGTTTGGGGCAGGGTTCTTGTGCACAGGTCCTTCGCCCAGCGCGCAGCCCGGTGTGGCTCGGTCCTCGGGAGGTCGCGGAGCAGCGCAAAGTGGCTCCAGCTGGCTCTACTTGGGGGTTTATGGGACTTACTAACCAATTATAACTGTACTTATAATCCTACTTATAATACACCTAAAGGGCCTTGTAGGGGTAGGCTTGGGGGCAGGTTGTGGCGAGTTTAGGGTTTAGGGTTTGGGGTTTAGGGTTTAGGGTTTGGGGTTTAGGGTTTGGGATTTAGGGTTTGGGGTTTAGAGTTTAGGGTTTAGAGTTTAGGGTTTAGGGTTCTTAGGGTTTAGGGTTCTTAGGGTTTAGGAAGTCAGGGCTGCGGAGCGTTTTTGTAAAGCCTTGGGTTTGGGCCGTAGGGTGGTTTAGGGTTTAGGGTTTAGGGGTTTAGGGTTTAGGTTTTAGGGCTAGGGTTTAGGGTTTAGGGTTTAGGGCGGAGAGTTCGGGGATGCAGATGCTGCTGCCGAGGTTGAGCTGAAGCTCCCAAGCAAAACCGAGCCGCTGCAGGCCAGATGATCTATTTTGAAAAGAATACTAATAAGAATATATATATATATATATATATGTAAGTATAAATACATAATTATTTAAATATAAATATAAATATAAATATAAATATAAATATAAATATAAATATAAATATAAATAAATAAATATAAAAATAAATATAAATATATAAATATAAATATAGATATAAATATAAATATAAATATAAATATAAATATATATATATATATATAAATATGTTTGTTAAAACATATTGCAGTATAGCAGAATAAAAAGCTGATACAAGATAATGGAGGATTACAGCGCACGTCAGGGGTTTTCTCCTCTGCCAGGGTCAAGGCATCCTTGTGACAGACCTTCGCTGGAAGTGGAGCTCTTGGTGGCGCAAGCCCCCCAGCCAGGTACCCTTAACCCTGAACCCTAAACTCCCTAAACCTTAGAACCCCAAACCCCAAACCCCAAACCCTAAACCCTAAACCCTAAACCCTACACCCTAAAACCCGCAACTCCCGCATGGCAGGTGCAGATCGCCGACACCAACCGACGCGCTGTCTGGAGGATCGGCGGGGCGTAGTCTGAGGCGTTTGGGGTTTAGGGTTTAGGGTTTGGGGTTTAGGGTTTAGGGTTTGGGGTCTAGGGCTCCAGGTAGATAGGGTCGCGAAGCATAGTTACCATACTTGTGACCCCTATTTCTAACTACCCATGAGCCGCCAAGCAGAGTCCACTCGTGGCTTCCACCGAACACATGAGAAGCACGTCCCGCCGCTCCCGCTTACTCCCGCCTGCTCGCCCGCCCCCCCGTGTGCGCGCACACGCGCGCGCGCGCACGCGCGGAGGTTCACGGGTAGTTATGAGTAGGGTTAGATGTCTGGGAACTATACTTACAACCCTGATTAGGGTCCACTTCTGAACATGCCCACACACACATCTTTGACACTGTGCCAGGTTGCTTCGGTCCAGTGCGGCTCAGACGAGTTAGTAAAGTTTCATTTGCGGTGTGTTCCCATGGGTTGACTGATTCTGCAGCAGACACAAGGGTTGCAACTGTCATTCTGCGCAAGAACTGTCCTGAGCTATGCAGCTACTTGGAGGTTCATGGGTACTTATAAGTAGGGCTACAGTTATACAAACAAACCTTGTAACCCTGTTTGGTGTACTTATAAGTCTACTGATAACTACCCATGAATGACCACCCCTCCGAATCCCTCTGCAATAAACTCCGCAAATGAGCCGATTTTAGTAGGGCCCCCCCATCGTACATGGTCTCAACCCAGAATCGCAGTTCCGCTGGCTGGTTCTTAGCAGGCAATGTACACTACATAATCCCTTAAAGGGTATATATATATATAGGTTGATTCGCTCATTCCCCGCGAAGAACCAGGGGGGGTCCCCAAGGTCACCATGCTGATCATGGTCGCGGGTGTCACCGTGTTTGCCGAGGGCCTGGCCGGCAATGTACAGAAGGCCCGTGCTGTGAGCTCGGAGGGCCCCAATACCGATACCTTTGAGGAAGATTGGGTTCTTTGTGAAACCCCCTGTGTAGGCCAAGGTATCCGCCCTGCACCTAAACTAACCCTAAACCCTGAACCCTAAAGCCTAAACCCTAAACCCTAAACCCTAAACCCTAAACCCTAAACCCTAAACCCTCAACCCTGAACCCTGAACCCTGAACCCTGAACCCTGAAACCCTGAACCCTGAACCCTGAACCCTAAACCCTAAACCCTGAACCCTAAACCCTAAACCCTAAACCCTAAACCCTAAACCCTGAACCCTGAACCCTGAACCCGAAACCCTGAACCCTAAGCCCTAAACCCTAAAGGCGTGTGGGCTAAATGCACTGGCGTCTGCGCAGGGCTTCGGCATGGGCTCCAAGAAGATCACTCCGGTGGAGGCGCCGAGCGACGGGAATCCCTCCATGCTGATGGGCAGGGTTTAGGGTTTAGGGTTTAGGGTTTAGGGTTTAGGGTTCAGGGTTTAGGGTTTAGGGTTTAGGGTTTAAGGCTTAGGGTTTAGGGTTTAGGGCTTAGATGAGAGAAGAGAGTGGTTTCCTAGGCTTCAAACAACTACTAGAGCAAGAACCTGACTTCCTGTTGCATCTCAAGCCTGTGCCGACACACTCACCCCACTCTCCCTAAACCCTAAACCCTAAACCCTAAACCCTGAACCCTAAGCCCTGAACCCACAACCCTGAACCCTAAACCCCAAACCCGAAACCCTAAGCCCCAAATCTTAAAAGACCCCCCAAGCCCGAAACTTAGGGGAGGCCCAGCCTTTGCCAGGAGGTGAATACGACCTTCGAGGATGTGAAGGGCTGCGATGAAGTCAAGGCCTGGCCTTCTTGTCTCTGACCCGGAGGGTTTAGGGTTTAGGGTTTAGGGGTTACGTCTTAGGGGGTTGGGGTTTAGGGTTTAGGGTTCAGGGTTTAGGGTTCAGGGTTCAGGGTTCAGGGTTTAGGGTTTATTGTTTAGGAAGGACCATCGTGCAGCGCTCTGCCCGCCGCAGCCGAATCCTGAGCCCTAAGCCCTAAGCCCCAAGCCCCAAGCCCAAAGCCCTAAGCCCTAAGCCCCAAGCCCTAAGCCCTAACCCCAAACCCTAAACCCTAAACCCCAAACCCCAAACCCTAAACCCTAAACCCTACACCTTCCCTCGCGTTCCCAGGAGGAGCTGCAGGAGATCATCCTGTACCTCCGCGACCCCGACCGCTTCACGCGGCTGGGCGCGAAGCTGCCCAAAGGCCGAGAGGTTTAGGGTTGAGGGTTTAGGGTTCAGGGTTTAGGGTTTAGGGTTTAGGGTTAGGGTTTGGGGTTTGGGGTTTGGGGTTTGGGGTTTGGGGTTTGGGGTGTCGGGTTTGGGTGTGGGGTTTAGGGTTTAGGGCTTCCCGAGGCCCCGAGCACTGGGTTTCTACAGTTTCCTTAGGAGTTCTTTCTTGTTGGTGCCAAGCGCAAGGGAAACATTAAACATGTGTTTGTCATTATGGTTCTACGGAGGTATGGGCTTCGGGTTTTCCTGGGATTTGCTTGGGGGGTCCCCAGGTTCCCTAAACCCTAAACCCTAAACCCTAAACCCTAAACCCTAAACCCTAAACCCTAAACCCTAAACCCTAAACCCTAAACCCTAAACCCTAACCCCTAAACCCCTAAACCCCTAAACCCCTAAACCCTAAACCCTAAACCCTAAACCCCTAAACCCCTAAACCCTAAACCCTAAAGAACCCTGTAAAGGCGTCATGATGTCGGGATCCCCGGGCACCGGCAAGACGCTGCTGGCCCGGGCTATTGCTGGCGAGGCAGGTGTCCCCTTCCTGCAGGCAGGGGACACCGTCTGACCTTAGGGTTTAGGGTGTAGGGTTTCGGGTTTAGGGCTTAGGGTTCAGGGTTTGGGGTTTTGGGTTTAGGGTTTCGGGTTTAGGGTTTAGGGATTCGGGTTCAGGGTTTAGGGTGTAGGGTTTCGGGTTTAGGGCTTAGGGTTCAGGGTTTAGGGTTTTGGGTTTAGGGTTTCGGGTTTAGGGTTTCGAGTTTCGGGTTTAGGGTTTAGGGTTTAGGGCTACCCCCGTCAATAACCTTAACTAGGATTAAGTATCCATAAATAGCCCTAATTATGGGCGGAACCTAGGGGGCTAGTATAGAGGGGGTAGAAGGGGAACCTATGAATACTGAAGGAACAAAGTTGGACCCCTTGAGTTCACGGGTTTCTCGTTGAGGGTGTGGGCAGTGACCAGTTTGCAAAGGAGACCAAGAGTAGGGTTGAGACCGTTTTGACGGTTTTGGGTTCAGGGTCTGGTTGTTGGCCAAGACTTAAAGTTAAGGGTTCAGGTTTGGGGCCAAGTTCCACATACGACATACCTCAGGATGATGCTTGAGAGGAGGAGGCGGATGACCCACTCGGATGAATGATTGCGACACATTCTATCCCTAAACCCTATACCCTAAACCCCTAAACCCTAAACCCTAAACCCTATAAATCCTATAAACCCTATAAACCCTATAAACCCTATAAACCCTATAAACCCTATAAACCCTATAAACCCTATAAACCCTATAAACCCTATAAACCCTATAAACCCTATAAACCCTATAAACCCTATAGACCCTATAAACCCTATAAACCCTATAAACCCTATAAACCCTATAAACCCTATAAACCCTATAAACCCTATAAACCCTATAAACCCTAAACCCTGCACCCCTACACCCCTAAACCCAAAACAGGCCTCCGGCTCGGAGTTCGAGGAGATGTTTGTTGGCGTGGGCGCGCGGCGCATCCGCGACCTCTTCCAGGAGGCCTTAGGGTTTATGGTTTACGGCTTAGGGTGAAGGGTTCTGGGGGGTTTTGGGTTTGGGGTTTAGGGTTTGGGGTTTAGGGTTTAGGGTTTGGGGTTTAGGGTTTGGGGTTTGGGGTTAGGGTTTAGGGGTTTGGGTTTAGGGGTAAGAGCCTCCCAGGAATGTCGAGGGTCCCAGGGACTCCAATACCCCCTTAAGGAAGCTTCCTTAGAATATAGCAGGGCTGCTGATATGGTTCAAGGAAGATTTCTGCAACCCTAAACCCTAAACCCTAAACCGTAAACCTCAAACCCTAGACCCTAAACCCTAAAGCCTAAAGCCTAAAGCCTCAACCCTAAGAGTCTTCGAGTCTCTGAGATAGCCCTGCTTGCAAGCATTTTCTGACTAAGCAACGAGGGATCGTGGGTTAGTAAGTAGGGGTTGTGGGGATTTTGCAAGGGTTCTTATAGGGGATAGATAGCAGACTTGCGAAGTCAGAAGGGGGGGGTTTCATGGCTTGAAAATGTAAGGGTCAGTATTTTGACAGGTGCTCTTTATTATGTTTACTTTTTTTGTTTCTCTCTCTCTCTCTCTGTCTCTTTCTGTCTCCTTTCAGTCTGGGAACCTGGAGTGCCATGCCAGAAGAGGGCTTCAGACTCTGCAAGCTAGGGTTTAGGGTTTAGGGTTTAGAGTTTAGGGTTTAGGGTTTAGGGTTTACGGGTTGAGGGTTAGGGTTCAGGGTTTAGGGCTTAGGGCTTAGGGTTTAGGGCTCAGGGTTTAGGGTTTAGGGTTAGGGCATGTGTTCGCGCAGCCGCTGCCTTCCTATCTAGTGCACAGGCCTTGCACTCCTGCCTTGATCTCGAGGCCCGCAAGCACGCGCCCTGCATCGTCTTCATCGACGAGATCGATGCTGTTGGCTCCAAGCGCTCGAACCGAGACAACACAGCGGTGAGGAGAGGGCGTAGGCCTAAACCCTAAACCCTAATAACCCTCTTCAGGGCACTTCGAACCCGCTTCTAATTTTCCATGAACAGCCAAGTCTGTCCAGGATGGGCGAGTAGGCCTCATCATCCCTATAATCAACCCTGTACAGGGCCCTGTTGAGGGGTTATAGGGTAGAATAGCCCATCCTGGGTTTTTTCTCCAAAAGACCCAAACCCGAAACCCTTGCCCCATTACAGTTTTCGTTAATTACCACAAAGAGTTATATTAAGACAACCAGTTTTGTGAAAATGAACTAATTCTTCTAGCATGTTTAATTGAATGATTATAGTACTCTCCATGAGAAGATTTAGTCCGATTGCATGATCACTAATGTAACTAGTATGTTGAATTTCATCACAAAACCACTGCCAGTCATAGATTTCGTCTACGTAACATAGGAGATGTAACAACCCTAAACCCTAAACCCTAAACCCTAAACCCTAAACCCTAAACCCTAAACCCTAAACCCTAAACCCTAAACCCTAAACCCTAAACCCTAAACCCTAAACCCTAAACCCGAAACCCTAAACCCTAAACCCTAAACCCTAGACCCTAAACCCTAAACCCTCGTAGAGTGGTCCGTGCCTTTTGGTCGCTGGCAGGATGACGTTGAATCAGCTCCTTGTCGAGATGGACGGGTTCGAGAACAACAATGGCAGGGCTGGCATTTGTTTTGGGGGGTTTAGGGTTTAGGGTTTAGAGTTTAGGGTTTAGGGTTCAGGGTTTTTGGTTTAGGGTTTTGGGTTTAGGGTTTATTAGGGCCTTCGTTACTTCCCCTACTACTGTTTATTCTCCCGTTTTGCCCAAAGTCTCAGAAGGTCTGTGCGTGTGCGTGTCTTTAGATTCTTTCTTTCCTTCCTGCTTTCGTTCTTTCTCTCTCTCTCTCTACGGAGAGTTCTCAAAGAGGCCTCTTAGAGAAGATCCAAAATGCAGTGGACATGAACAATGACCTTTATCAAACGTACATCTTCGTCATTATCCACCCCTCGCCAGTGTGGAGCCAGCATTTAAACTTAGATTAGCTTAAGAAGTCATGTAACATAACTACTATTTGCTTAACCCCATCCCCCCAAAAAAAGGAGCCCTATAATGCCTTTTAAGGAAGAATATTTGCCATTTTGGGGTGATTTTTAAGTATATTGTAGATAGTGACGGTCATCGCTGTAGCCACTTTTTTGGGCTTATCACTGTTCTTGTCTTTTTGGTGTAGCCGACCCCCCGTTTGGGCAAGCTCATTTCAAGAACTCTCTCTCTCTCTCTCTCTCGCTTTCGCTTTCTCTTTCTCGCTCTCTAGCTAAACAGCAATGAACGATGTATGTTTCAACTGCGAGACATCATGGTTACTTGAAGCCGTTGTTGGTAAGATGGGGCAGTGAGAAGTAGTGTCCCTAAACCCCAAACCCCAAACCCCAAACCCCAAACCCCAAACCCCAAACCCTAAACCCCAAACCCTAAACCTTAAACCCTAAGCCCTATATCCTAAACCCTAAACTCTAAACCCTAAACCCTAAACCCCAAACCCTAAACCCTAAACCCGGTTTCCTGGGTGTCTGGGCCAGGTGTCGTCGTCATCTGCGCAACGAATTTCCCGGAGTCCCTTGACAAGGCTCGCTTGAGCTCGGGCTTATGGCTTCGGGCTTCGGGTGTCGGGTTTAGACTTCGGGTTTAGGGTTTAGGGTTTATAAACCCTAAACCCTAAACCCGAAGCCCTAAACCCTAAACCCGAAAGGGTTAGCAGGTTGTGAGCTTCCTGGTTGGTGCGCCATCGTGTCCTTCAAAGAGGGGTGGCCCCAACCCTAGACTACGAAATGCTCAATCCTAAGCACTGTACCTTATAAAGGCTGTTACCCTTGTACCTTTATGTAGCCCCTACAATGAGAACCCCTATATATGCCCCTATAAACAGAAACCCTACCTAAAGAGACCACCAACCCACATAAACTGTAACTACTCGGGGGGTTTACGAAAAAAGGGGACCCCTAGAGTAGACCCCAAATACTAGGATTCCCTTATAAAGTACGCCTAACCTCGGAAATCCCCATTTCGCTTTTGGTGTACGCCCCCTAAAGACCAGGAGTTCGTGCGGAGCGACAGTCCACTGCACGCTTCAAACAAGCCTGTACGCAGACCATAACCCTGTTCAGGTCAGATGGGGGGGGGGGGGCACGAAACCCTGAACCCTAAACCCTAAACCTAGTAAACCTGGGGGAGGGGGGGGGGGGAGGGTGGTGGGTGTGGGGAGGATGTGGGGGGGTTGGGGGCTCTTTGATAAAGCGGTCGTCAAGATGGCTCCGTGGAGCAACCTACCTGTGAAGCCTGCTGCTTCTTCTCTACTATTTGCTTAAGAACCCCAAAAGAATAAACATAACAGTCCGTATATTACCCTTAGAAAGAAGTTTTGGGGGTTCTTTAGCAATTAGTAGTTCTTGGTCGCTTGCTAACCTTCTCCTGTATGGCTACTTGCAACAAGCACTTGGAGGTTCATGGGTGGAACTAAGTAGGGTCATGATTATAGTAGTCATGCAAGGTACCCTATTCTTGGGTACCTTTCGGCCTATTTTTTGCTGCCCGTTTTTCTCCAAGGATTTTTTTTTTATAACTTCAGCTCCCAACATGTTGTAGCACATCGTAAGTTAATGCAATGAGAGTATGTACTGTCTGTATGCATGCATGCATGCATGCATGTATGTATGTATGTAGGTATGTATGTATGTATGTACGTATCTGCATATGCAGACGCATAGGCATGCATACATGTGCTCATGCGGCATGTGTATGTGCATGCGCCCGGTGTGTATATGTAGCTTTTCGATCACGTTTGGGGAGTTCTTTGGTGTGTATATCTATATAGACATGCACACACACACACACGACATGCCCATGCAGGAAACCGTAAACCCTTTACCCTAAACCCTAAACCCTAAACCCTAGATGAGGCGCATGAAAGGAGTAACCCCCGCGCGAGGCCCTCACACGGCCTGGGCGATTAGACCGGCAGATCGTGGTGCCCATCCCGGATCTCAAGGGTCGCACAGCCCATGGCTCAGTTCGGGTTTAGGGTTTAGGGTTTGGGGTTTCGGGTTTAGGGTTGAGGGTTTAGGGTTGAGGGGTTAGTTTAGGATTAAGGGTTTAGGGTTTAGAATTTCGGGTCTTGGGCTTAGGGTTTAGGGTCGAGGGAGTCTAGGCACCAAACGGTGCAGGAAGAGTGCAGGCATCGGGCTTGGGAAGGGAGGATTGAGGAGCAGCGAGGCTTCGGGTTTTGAGGATTCAGGGCGTGGCTGCTCCACAGGAGTCCCAGAGTAAATTTAGGGTTTAGGGTTTAGGGTTTAGGATTTGCCGAGGAGATCCTTGAGATGTACGCTGCAAAGCTGCTCCTGGACGAGCACGTGGACCTCCGCACCCTCGCGCGCCGGACGGCCGGGATGACAGGTGCCAGGGTTGAGGGCGAAGCCCTAAACCCTAAACCCTAGACCCTAAACCCTAAACCCTAAACCCTAGACCCTAAACCCTAAACCCTAAACCCTAAACCCTAAACCCTAAACCCTAAACCCTAAACCCTAAACCCTAAACCCTAAATTCTAAACCCTAAACCCTAAACCCTAAACCCTAAACCCTAAACCCTAAATTATGCTTAGGGTAGCAGAAGCGCCCCCGTTGTATACCCTAAACCCTTTTGGGGAAGCCCTAAACCTTGAAACCCTTTTTGGGGCTCAAAGGGTAATAGCAGCCAACCCTAAACCCTAAACCCTGAAACCCTTTTTGGGTCCTGGCAGGCAACCCGAAACCCTAAACCCTAAACCCTAAACCCTAAACCCTAAACCCTAAACCCAAAACCCTAAGCCCTAAACCCTGAAACCCTTTTTTGGGCTCAAAGGGTCCTAGCAGCCAGCAGCTGGCCGTAAACTCCAGCGCCGCTTGCCCCTCGGCGTTGGTGGGGGAGCTCAGCTGCGTGGGTTTAGGGTTAAGGGTTTTTAGGGGTTCAGGGGTTTCAGGGGGTTAGGATAGGGTTTAGGGTTTGGGGTTTGGGGTTTGGGGTTTAGGGTTTAGGGTTTGCGGTTTAGGGTTTAGGGTTTAGGGTTTGAGCGCCCTGTTTGCGTGCTTCTGAGGTTCCACGACATGGTGAACATCCCGAAGACGCGGAACACCTACTGCAGGACATATGTTAACCCTAAACCCTAAACCCTAAACTCTAAACCCTAAACCCTAAACCCTACTGCAGGAGGGCCGGCTCCGGACTTGACAAGATACTCCCCGAAGCCGTGACATGCTGCCCCCTTACAGACGCTTTGTAGAAATACATGTCGAAGTTATGAGTTTATGCATGTATGTATGTATGTATGTATGTATGTATGTATGTATGTATGTATGTATGTATGTATGTATGTATGTATGTATGTATGTATGTATGTATGTATGTATGTATGTATGTATGTATGTATGTATGTATGTATGTATGTATGTATTATGTATGTAGAAATATATATATATATATATATATTATACATTGTTTATGGCCCCCCCCCCCCTTAAGCTCGCGTTCTAGCTGCTAGCTGAATCGGCCACGGAACCCAAACTCCGAAACCCTGGGCCCTCAACGCACATCAAGCCCGTTACCGGTGCCAGGAAGTGCAAGAAGCACACCCCTCACAAGGCGCGCAGCAGTGAGTGGCCAAGTGTGTTTAGGGTTTAGGGCTTAAGGGCTTAGAGCTTAGGGGTTAGGGTTCAGGGAGTTTAGGGTTTAGGGAGTTTAGGGTTTAGGGAGTTTAGGGTTTGGTTTAGGAAGTTTAGGGTTTAGGGTGGAGGATGGCAGGGTGGACCGTGCGAGCTTTCAATGTCTGAGCCCTGCTTGGAGGTTCATAGGGACTGAATATGCAGGGTTTAGGGTTTAGGTTTTTGGTTTTAGGGTTTAGGGTTCAGGGTGGCGCATTTTAATTACGGCTATCGGTGTAGTTCCCATCCTTTTCAAGCTACTTATAACTACCCGCTACCCATGAACCTGCAAGTAAGCCCACCTTATTCTCTCAACCATAAGCCCTTGTTAGGGTTTAATTAGGGTTTAGGGTTTAGGGTTTAGGGTTTCGGGTTTAGGGTCCCAAAGTGTTTCCAGGTCTCGCAGTACAAGACTGGCAAGGCCTCCCTGAGCGCCCAGGGCAAGAGGCGATACGACAAGAAGCAGGCAGGGCGGTTTAGGGTTTAGGGTTTAGGGTTTCGGGTTTAGGGTTTAGGGTTTAGGGTTTGGGGTTATCACGTGGTTCGAAGCGTCTTGCATGGTACCTGGCCTACCCTCCCACTGCGTTCTGAGGCTGGGTTTGGCGGGCAGACCAAGCCAGTGTTCCACAAGAAGGCAAGGGCAATGATGCCTTGTGTGTACCAGTAGAATACTTTGTGGTGCTTTACTGTAAGTTTAGACCCTTAGCCTTTTTGGGCTTATTGGGTTTCTTACCAAGGCAGCTAAAATTTAATTTATAGCTACCATCCTAAGTGCAGCCAAGAATACATCTTGCACTATGTCCCCAAATGCCACGGCCCCCGCCCAATCTTGCACCTGCAGTGGTCCCAGCTCCGAACCCTAAACCTTAAATCCCCGGTTCACATGCTCGGAAATCTCTAAACCCTAAACCCCAAAGCCTGAACCCCAAACCCTAAACCCCTAAAACCCTAAACGCCTAAACCCTAAACCCTCGCCCTGGTTGCACGAAGAACGCCTGGTGTCCAGGCGAAGACGACGAAGAAGATCGCCAGCAACTCAGGGGTTGGGGTTTAGGGTTTAGGGGTTTGGGGTTTAGGGTTTAGGGTTTGGGTTTAGGGTTTGGGGTTTAGGGGTAAAGGGGTTTAGGGGTTTAAGGTTTGGGGAGTCATGAAGGATAGGGGTGTAGGGTTTGGGGTTTTGGGTTTAGGGTTAGGGGTTTAGGGTTTGGGGTTAAAGCAGTGTAGGGGTTTAGGGGTTAAGGGTTTGGGGATTAATGTGGATTCGGGCTTTAGGGGTTTAGGGTTGAGGGGTTTGGGGGTTTAGGGTTTGGGGTTAACGGGGTTTCGAGGTTTAGGGTTCAGGGGTGCAGGGGTTTAGGGGCATGGGGCTTCGGCGTTTAGGGTTCAGGGTGATTCAGTTTTGAAGAGTTGTCTTTTAAATATCTTTTCTCGCGACAGGGCAGTGCGCGCCGTCCTTGTTTCTGCTGGCATCTTCTCCCAGCTACCACAATCCAATCTGCAAGGGTCAGTTATACTTACCCTGCTCTGATGTAAGATTTCTAAATTTAGGTTCTAAACCCCAAAGCCCTAAACCTTCAAACCCGATCAGTCCTGCAGACCCTGATTTGTCACAGTCCAGGTCCTGAAGCTTGAGTGCACGAAGTGCAAAGCCAAGCGCGGCCCGGCTGCTTTGGAATGGTTTCGGGTTTAGGCCGTACTCCCCCCAAACCCTAAGCCGCAATCCCTAACCCTAAGCCCTCAACCCTCAACCCTGAACCCTGAACCCTAAACCCTAAACCCTAAACCCTAAACCCTAAACCCTAAACCCTAAACCCTAAACCCTAAACCCTAAACCCTAAACCCTAAACCCTGACCCTAGACCCTAGACCCTAAACCTAAAGCCCAAACCCTCCAACCTGAACCCTGCGGGATCTGCGTTGGGACCCTCAACTTGCCCTAAACCCTAGGCTTAAACCCTAAACCCTAAACCCTAAACCCTAAACCCTAAACCCTAAACCCTAAACCCTAAACCCTAAACCCTAAACCCTAAATGGAGTCCCTCTTAAAGCCGAGGCATGAAGCCCATCAAGCGCACGAAGCACTTCGAGCTCGGAACGGACTCCAAGAAGGGCAAGAGCGAGTGCGACCGGGGCTCCTTTTCCTTGCGCTTCTGATGTCGGGGTGTTTAGGGTTTAGGGTTTAGGGCTAGGGTTTAGGGCTAGGGTTTAGGGTTTAGGGCTCAGGGTTTGGGGTTTAGGGTTTAGGGCTCAGGGTTTGGGGTTTTAGGTTTTAGGTTTAGGGTTCAGGGTTTGGGGTGCTGCAACATCCCTGTCTTCGTGGTGCGCCATTCGAATTGCACAGTTCAGAAGCCGGCTGAGACTTGCAGCTGCACAGGGTAGGTAAAAGTAGTTTAGGGTTTAGGGTTTAGGGTTTATGGTTTTGGGTTTAGGGTGTAACTCTCATCGAACCCTATTTTAGGGTTACCTCGAACCCAGCTTATACGATAGCTACCCATGAACCTCCAAGCAAGCTCATATTAAACCCTAAACCCTAAACCCTAGACCCTAGAGCCTAGACCCTAAACCCTAAGCCCTAAGCCCTAAACGCTAAGTTCCATGCAGGTACGGCGGCAAGTACCGATAGATGGATGGTTTTGGAGCTGTTGGCAGAGGAAAAAGGAACGTGCGGAGGGCACTCTGGGAGATTCCATGACGGTTCCCTCGACCCTACATGCCTAAACCTCAGGGAGGAGGGGTTTAGGGTTTAGGGATTAGGGTTGGTTCCGCATGATCAATGAAGCTATAAGCCCCCAAGCCCCCAGACCCCAAGCCCTCAATCCCAACTGAATAAACTACCCGAACCTCAACACTCGAAACCCTAACCCTAAAGCCAATACCTCAATGAAACCCATAAACCGAATCCGTAAACTACCCTCACCCGGTAAACCCTAGAGGCAAACAACTCTAAACCCCACGCCTACTTGCAAGCCCTTTTGCTTTTGTGAGTCTACTTAGCTTGCCTGGAAGCCCTATGATAATCCCCATCATAACCCACCTTACTAACGCTGTTTACGAAGTCAAGAGAGCTTCCAAGTAGACCCCAAGCTATCCACCCTAAACCCAAAACCCCTAAACCCCCAAGACCCCTAAACCCCCAAGACCCCTAAACCCCCTAAACCCCCGAAACCCCCTAAACCCCCGAAACCCCCTCAACCCCCTCAACCCCCTAAACCCCCTAAACCCCCCAAAACCCCCTAAGCCCCCTAACCCCCTAAACCCCCCAAAACCCCTAAACCCCCCAAAACCCCCAAAACCCCCTAAACACCCTACACCCCCTAAACCTCCCAAAACCCCCTAAACCCCCCAAAACCCCCTAAACCCCCCTAAACCCCCTAAACCCCTGAACCCCGCAGGTGCCGACTTGGCAAACATCCTCAACATCGCGGCCGTCCGCTCCTCCGCCGACAACCTTCCTTGCGTGCGCCCACGGCTGGGGTTTAGGGTTTAGGGTTTAGGGTTTACGGTTTAGGGTTTAGGGTTTAGGGCTTAGGGCTTAGGGCTTAGGGTTGGGGGTTTAAAGGCTTGAGAAGGGTTATCAAAAGTTGTATTTGGGGGTTCAGGGTTTAGGGTTCTATGAGCTTGGAACTCCTGACAAGGGTATTAACCAGGGTTATAGGGGGTCCCTTTTTTCTGCTAACGTTGGCGAAGGTCTGGATGCCTTGGTAGAGAGGAGCGCGAGCTAGCACATGAATATCCACACGTCCTTGGCGATTTCCAGCAGCTTGCTTTCATGAAGGGAAGGCTTTTCACGCTAATAATTTACAGCGGTGGAAGCCTGCCAAGAGCCAGGGATCTGCACCTGCTGTAACTTGAGCAGTGTGTAAGCTGAAGCATTCTGAGCTTATGATTGATCAGCCTCAAACATGTGTTTTTTATGGCCCTCAGAGCCTGTGAACAGCCAAAGAGCCTGTATCTCATAGCATAGGGGAACAAGGCTTTCGCTTTTTATAGGGAGTTCAGGGGTTCGATCAGGGGTCGGCAAGGGCATGACAAGGTTGTGAAAGGCTTGTGTCAGGGTCTGTCTTAACTTTGTTGCAAGGGTTCTATAAGGGTTGCGTACTTGGAGGTTCATGGTACTTACTAACGTACTTACTAACCAAGTATAACTGTACTTATAACCCTATACTTGTAATACCCCTAAAGGGCCTCCAAGTAAGGGGTTAATTATGGTGTCAGGTCTGTGGGATGGTTCGTAGCCATGGCGAGTGTGGAAGAACGTGGCTTGCGGCGTCATTGCGATACGATTCCCCCCAAGGTCGTAAGGCGCCGGCGGGTGTCAGAGAGGAGAGTCCTTGTTCCCGAGACCTGTCCCATATTGCTTACTTGTTTTGTTGGGTTTTGTTTGGGAATTATGGGCCCTAACACTCCTCCCTTACGCCCTTCTGGTTCTTCATGACAACGGTGCATGTTGCTGATCTTTGCGTATGTGTCTGGTATTCGTTTCCTAGTTCGTCACCAGTTGTTCCTCCAAAATATGCCCCAATTCTAGCCTCATCCCCCTTCTTCACACAGAGGCTGTTCTACTTTAGGGTTTAGGGTTTAGGGTTTAGGGTTTAGGGTTTAGCCTGATACCTTTCGCATCCGGACATGGTGAGGTGTTTATCTGAAGGCCAGGAGCAACCAAAGGCCCTGGAAGCCCCAAACCCTAACAACGGTCTACTTGGAGATTCATGTGTACTTGTACCACAGTTGTAAGTCTACTTAGAACCTATTTAGGGGACTTAGGGGGCTTATAAGTGCAGCTATAGCTAGGGTTACAAGTACCCTGAACCTCCAAGTAAGAGGCCACAAAGAACCCAGAGAGCCCAAAACCCCCTTAATTAAGCAATATTCCTTAAGCCATATATGAATTCTTAGTATGATGTACGGAATATTCCTTATTTAAGGGGTACTGGACTTTTTTTGGGAACCGTAGCCTGTCGCAGATTCCGACGAAGTACCTCGAGGAAGCCTTCGATCGGGTCGTGGTAGGCGGGCGCTTTGAGCCGAGTCCTGTGGGTAGCTCTCTCTAACTTTGGGTCTCCCTTTTTGGGTTCTTGTTATAAGGGTTTAGGGTTTAGGGTTTATTGTTTAGGCCCGTATTATATAGGGGACCCAACCCCTAACTTAGAGAGCAGTGCCCGTGTTTTGTAAAGGGTTAGGGGGCTTTACGGTTTAGGAAGCGATCCCTATGCTCTGCCATGAGGGTTTGAGGTTTAGGGTTTCGGTTGCAAGTGGGTCTGTAGTAGGCAATGGAGGGTAGGGGGGAGGATTTGCGATGATTTAGGGCGCCACTGTGAACCGAACTACCCAGGCCCCAGGGCCCTAAATCCTTCAAACGCTGAGTTTCTGATTGGAACAGGCACACAGCCCCATAAAAAGGGTGATGCTTCCATGTTGCCATATAGGCATGCATCAGCAAGAGCACCAGAAGCAACCTTAAATCCTAAACCCTTTGAGCTGCAGGTCTGGAAAGGAGGAACCCCATGAGCGAGCAGGAGAAGACGTTGACTGCGTGCGCACCGCAAGAAGGGCACGGTTTATTCTAAACCCTAAACCCTAAACCCTAAACCCTAAACCCGAAACCCGAAACCCGAAACCCGAAACCCGAAACCCTAAACCCCAAACCCCAAACCCTAAACCCTAAACCCTAAGGGGTTGAGGGTTTCGTGGCGCTCGAGAGCACTGGCGGGAGATCCGGCAGCACGGCCGCGGATTAGAGTTTAGGCTACCGGGCTTGTGCAACATATTTTTTGTACTATAATTACTATTATCATTATTATTATGATTATTATGATTAGTATTATTATTATTGTTTTTATGATTGTTATTGTTGTGTGTGTGTGTTTTATGTATACTATTGTATATATTGTTGTATATATATATATATAATTGTACATTTCTGTATATATATATATATGATTGTATATGGTTGCATATTATTGTATAATACTGTATATCATTGCATATTAACTATGAATAGGTTGTATGTCACTGCTGGTACTGTCTGCCACGCTTGTTTGTGAGTGAGTACATGCTGAAACCCTAAACCCTAAACCCTAAACCCTAAATCCTAAATCCTAAATCCTAAACCCTAAACCCTAAACCCTAAAACCCTAAACCCTAAACCCTAAGCGTTCCTGGGAGTATTGACGGGGCGCCGTATGTTGCAATGGAAGTGTGATCAGGGGCGAGATGGCTCTTCTCCCTGTTAGGGTTTAGGGTTTAGGGTTTGGGGTTTAGGGTTTAGGGTTTAGGGCCTTAACCCCACACCCCAATGCAGCAGCTTCAAGGTGTACCACCACCACCCTTCACACCATATACGGGCAGTTCTCCGAACTAGCATCTTTTTTTTTTTGCCGTACTCTACGTAGGACCCACAGAGGGACACTAACACTTTAGACAAGTATCTGTGTACTTGTAATGTAGACATCGCAAGATACCTATTCTGATTGCATCGACCCATATATCGGACCTCCTACAGGTACCACGAGGGCGGCCACACGCTGGTCTCCATTGGCAACGCAGGGGCGGCAGGGTGTCCCAGCATTTCGGAAAGTCCAGAGTGCCCAGAATTCTATGCCCCGACCGAAACCCTCATCCCCAAACCCTAATCCCTAAACCCTAAACCCTAATCCCTAACCCGAAACCAGAATCCCCAAATCCCAAAACCAGCTGCAAGGACCCTGTGCACAAGGCCACGATCATGCCGCGCCGGGGGTCTCAGAATGGCAGGGCCTGGTGGCAGAGAGTTCCATGGGAGTGCCCAGGCCCCGCAAAGAAAAGCTGCAGAAATGCCGCGGAGAATCACACCCAGAGATCCTCACACTGCATCCCAGGGAGAGTATCCCTGAAGTGCCGCAGCTTGTTTTTGAAGCCACTAAGTTTGAGGTGCGGAGGCGAGTTTGCAAGCCACGTTTGCAGGCCACGTTTGCAGCACTCACGGGGAGGTTAGGTAAAATCATTTCTTTGCTGGTACCCCAAACCTTAAGGGTTTAGTCCACTAGAGCACATCATGCGCTTTGCCATGTGCTCTTGGCAATGCAATCCATCAGGTGGGAACGCGTTGGGGGTGACGTGTGCCTGGCGCCTTTTGTGCACAGAAAGGTCAGTCGATGATGCAGGGCCCACGAGTCACGAGTCCCCCTATGCAGAGAGCGGGGCCGGGGTGGGGGGGATTGTTCTACTTTCAGGTACTGCGATGGGCACCTTCTCCAAAAGAAGCCCTAAACCCTAAACTTGGCCCTAAACCCTAAACCCTACCCTAAACCCTACACCCTAAACCCTACACCCTAAACCCTAAACCCTAAACCTTAAACCCTGCTGACCCAGCCGCCAGTAATTTACCGCTACGCGACCATGGGCCGGGGCCTGCCCAGCGGCGAGGCAACCGGTTAAAGAGTGGGGATGGCAGTTTGGGGGGCGCTTGGAGGTTCATGGGTACTTCTAACCACAGTTATAAGTCTACTTAGAACCTACTTAGGAGACTTAGGGGGCTTATAAGTACAGTTATCATTAGGGCTATCAGTACCCTGAACCTCCAAGAGGGGGAGGTGGCGGGGGTGTGGCGGGGGCGTCAAGCAAAAAAAAAGGTGCCAAATACAGGCCTAAACCCTAAACCCTAAACCCTAAACCCTAAACCCTAAACCCTAAACCCTAAACCCTAAACCCTAAACCCTAAACCCTAAACCCTAAACCCTAATTTCTAAACCATAATTTCTAAACCCTAAACCCTAAACCCTGAACCCTGAACCCTGAACCCTAAACCCTAAACCCTAAACCCTAAACCCTAAACCCCAAACCCCTAAACCCTCAACCCCTATACCCTAAACCCTAAACCTTTTGGACATGCCAGGTGGAGCATCCCGGAGCGCGAGAAGTACTCGGAAAGGCTCTTTGAACTTCAGGCCTTTCCGGGGGGTGTTTCCTTGGGGGTTCATAGGTAGTTTTATTAGTAGGGGGGGGGGGGGGTCTTTCCTTGGGAGTTCATAGGTCGTTTTATAAGTAGGGGTGTCTTTCCTTGGGGGTTCATAGGTAGTTTTATAAGTAGGGTTATAGCTGTGGCAAGTGCACGTAACCCTAAACCCTAAACCCTAAACCCTAAACCCTAAACCCCAAACCCTAAACCCTAAACCCTAAACCCTAAACCCTAACCCTAAACCCTAAACCCTAAACCCTAAACCTTAAGTCCTAAACCGTATTTGCGGTACTTAAAACTCTACTTGCCATAAACCTCCAAGTCGGCTTCTCAGAGTTTCGGCCCGCTTCGGGTCCTTAAGCCAGAAGCCCTAAAGCCGGAATGTAAGGGGACCGTCTCATGACGCCCTGTAAGATATGGCCCTAAGCCCTAAGCCCTAAGCCCTAAGCCCTAAACCCTAAGCCCTAAGCCCTAAGCCCTAAACCCTAAACCTAAACCCTAAACCCTAAACCCTAAACCCTAAACCCTAAACCCTAAACCCTAAACCCTAAACCCTAAACCCTAAACCCTAAACCCTAAACCCTAAACCCTAAACCCTAAATAAACTCTAAACCCTAAACCCTAAACCCTAAACCCCAAACCCTAAACCCTAAACCCTAAGTTCTCCTTTAAAGGGATACACCTAAACCCTGCACAAGCTTCGTACGCCCTTGGCCCTAGGCGCGTCTGGACGTCCTCATGGGTGGCAAAGCTGCCGAGGCGGCGGGGTTCCGGGCCTCCTGTTTAGGGTTTATAGGGTATAGAGTTTAGGGTTTAGGGTTAGAGTTTAGGGTTTAGGGTTTAGGGTTAGAGTTTAGGGTTTAGGGTTTTGTGGGTTTTTATTGGGGTTAACAGGGTTTATAGGGTTTACAGGGTTTCTAGGCTTTCTAGGGTTTACAGGGTATATAGGGTTTATGGGGTTTCGGGATGCGTTGGATCCTTTCAACCGGGCTGCTGCTGGCGCCAAGCCTTGTGGGATCGGACCTGTGCCACTCGGAGGTTCGTTGGCCGGTTGCCCAGAAACCTTCAGGATCAAAAAGGGCGCCTATTTTGCTAAAAGGGGCTCATAATGGAACCAAAGCCCTAAACAAGGGAACCAGGGTACTACTGGGTATCCTGGGTAGCTATAACTAGGGTGATGAGTATGGAAACTCTACTCGTAACGCTCTTTAGGGTACTTATATCTCTGCTTGTAACTACCCGTGAACCTCTAAGTAGTTTACCCTAACTCAGTAGCCTGACGAGTGGCTAGGATTCTACAGCTACTATTTGTTTGAGAACCTCAAAAGAAGAAAGAAGAATCCCTATATTACCCTCAATAAGGAAGTACATTTTTATTTTTGGGGGTTCTTAAGCAATTAGGATACAGGCGCCGGAC